AATTGCTCACATGGCTGACTCAGCAGAATCCGCAGTCTATTAATTCACTCCGTCAGATTGATTTCAGACGCTGCTGGCTGCTTTTCAACACTGTTATCCAGCTTCAAAACTCTCATTCTCAAGGTGAAAGCGGAAAGGAAAGGTCCAAAAAAGCTGTGTCACTTATTGGTGACGTTGTGAGTGCAGTAGAGTGGGGGGGAGGGGGGGAGTCCTCTTTTAACGCCTTCCCTCCACAGGACGCCAGCTGCCCGACTTTGATTGTGGCCCGAAATAAACGTGACGGCCGTGTCCTTCTGTTTCCCACCGACAACATCTTGTCTAGAAACCAGGTGAGGAGCAAGAAAATAATAAATCACAAAATCATTGTGAATATTTGATTCATTTTTATTTTTTATTATCAACACATTTCAAGTCTTATGGGGGAAAACAGATCACAAATACTTGGTTACAACTAAATGGTTAAAATAGGGAAATATTGGGTTTGTGGCGAATAGATGTGTCTGTTAATGGTAGCATGATGTGTCATCAAGTGTGTCGCTGCAGCTCATTGATGAGTTGTGAGACTGGTGAGAATAAACTGAAAGTTATTTTGGGGTCTTTTCATAGTATTTGGTGACAGTAAGAAAAATACAGATGTTAAGAGGTCGACCGAGTGACCTTCACGCTGTGGAGCTCTGCAGCTGGACAGATTGATGTGAGTTTACAGCTCAAGGTGTCTGAGGCCGTGCCTCATCCTGCCTCTGTGACGCTCCACAGCCCCTCTGTGGACCTACTGATGACATTTTTCAGGCCTGTCGCACCGAAGATGAGTAGTGGGATGCAGGAGACTCACACAGTGGATCATGCACACCGCTGACATGATTACTCACTAAATCACGGTGGAACTACTTTGTCAGTTCTCAAATCAAAAGGAACTGTTAAAAATAAATTGACGGTACGGTTTTATAGTCTGTCTGAGAAAATAAAAATAGGTATAGACGGATCGATAGATAGTTAGTGACAGATGGTGATTTTGCTGCAGTGTGTAGATTCCTGTTATTGTCCTACTAATACTTTAATCTGTAGACAATCAGCTGTTCTCATCTCATTTTGAAGCAATAGTTCGTGGTCTGCAACCCGACAATAAAAAGACTTCAAAGCATTTTCACAGCATTTTCAGTGGTATATTAGTGAACGTTTTAGGAAACACTGCCGGTTAAAATTCGTCTTCAGGCCCAGCGGAATGTGATGAATTGCGTTAAAGGATATACAAATAGACCAAGGAGAAACTTTGGTAGCAACGAGGAGAGAAGGAACATTTAAACTGGGCAAGATGGCAAGCAGTAATGCTCTGGAGCCAAATGAACCCGGGATGTCTTTGCTTCATACCACTTTGAATAATTTAAATATAAGGAAGAGACACCCGAGACTTCTTTAAAACAGCACGAGGTGGAAAACACCGATCAGTTTCATACTTTTTCCTCATGGAACCCACAAAAAGAAAGAGAGAGAAGTTTGTTCTGTTGTCAGCCACAACGAACGGCGCCACCAGCGAAACCATCTGATTGCAATGTAAACTACAGCCCCTGCTGATGGGAAGCTACTGGAAACCTACAGCCAGCTTTCATAAAAATGATGATGTGCATTTATGTCACTGAGGAAGAACGCTGCCCGCTCAAGTGAAATAAACGATCGGCAAGATCTTTTCCATTACTTTCCACCATCCCGTCAGCTAACCATTTCACACTTTAACCACTATGTTTATGTAACGGGGCTTTAGTTACCTACATCGACACCTCATACAATATTAGTTTGAACAAACTATGAACAAAACACACGCAGCCGCTTAAAGACTTTAAATAAAAAGTCAAATCAGAGGACAAATAACAAGACAACACAACATCATTATTTTAATATTTATATATATTTTTTTGCACTGCAATTCCCTTTTATTCCAATATGATGCAGCACACAGAGTATTTATGTTCCCTCCTCCTCGAGCCTCTTGTAGTTTGTATCTCAGAGCCCCCGGAAGCCTTCTGGTCCTTCATTGATTTCCCCTTTCAGGCGATGATTCTTAACAAACGTATTAAGTCGGCGAAGGTTCGCGCTCGGTTGAGGTAGCTGTCAAAAAATAATTGGGCTCTTGGATTCAACGGCTGTTTTAACCCCCAGAAGCCTCATCAAGGCCGTGACCCTGAACATTTGCTCCGCAGCCCCTCGTGTGATCAATTTGCCTTCCTACTCATGAGAAACGCAGGTCCAACAGAAGTCGACCCTCTGTGTTTTTCCTTTGACAGTTCTCCGTGTAATGGTAGTGCATCCGGGGATCAGAGAGCGTGAGGGCCGGGGGGGCTGAGAGGTCAGGGTCAGGTTATTGAGGGCAAACGTCAATATGGATTCAAGTGAGTGAGAGAGGATTGTATCACGATGACCTTTCCATAGAGAGAGTAAAGGGTTAATGCTGAAAGACGCTTAACTTTGTTCTTATATACATAAATATATTAATAAATCTTTAAGTTTATTCAAAATGATTTCCTGTTATTTGTCTTGTTAAATAATAGCTAGATTGTCGGAGCATGATTCATGGAGCAACATTCTAACTTTAAAGGGTTTTTCATTCACTCTATCAAAGAAAATGTTCAGCGCCAACATGAACAAAGGGAGGAAATCATATTTAATACAACTCAGACCAAGCACGGAAAGTCATTAATAAACTCGGACCATGAGTTCTGCTCCTGCTTCTTCATGCCCACAATGAGTCTTTATCCACAAATGTAAATATCTTCTGAATTAAGGAGGTTTATATTAGCTTTCGCCGGCTTGAATTGTTTTATTTAATTAATCAAACGCTACACGCCATCCAGCTCCATCTAATGACGGCTCTGTATTTATATTTAAAGATCTCCGGGTATTAAAATGAAAACAGTAATGTAACGAATTGACATCTATGACAAAGCTTCAAACTGTTGCAGCGCTGGCGGTTAAATTACTCACCGATGTGAGAAATTAACTTAAATGCGAACGCACTGAGGGAGAGCGATGAAAGCAACGAGTGCAGTTTGCTCGTGAGGGATGAGATTAAGTTCTGTGATGCAGATTCTCTTCGATACATTATTCAGTGTCTGTCTCACCAATTCAACTTGTTCAAGGATGGGCCTCGTTTTACCCCCAGTTAAGGTAACAAACAAATAAACGGCCCATTTCATTTGGATTTTTGCTCTTCATTTTCAGGCATTTTAAGCAATGGTAAGTCAGTGACTTTGAAATGTTGTAGATGTCCACGTTCCCTCATGACCTCACCGGCCGACGTGGACACTTGAGTAATGTGTCTCGACCGCTTTTAGATCACAATCAGCATGAACAGTTGATCTAATGGTAATCAGCCATAAACATATGTAATAGTCATTATTTCAAATAGATTTATTTAGTGCTTCTGCCCTTAGTTACTATCTTCACGTCTAAGTGACTCAATGACTTCCTAAACATGGTTAAACCATTTACATTAGCATGTAAATTAACATCTCTGTATAGAAATTAGCATTACGGACGGCGTCAGAATAGCAGTAATTTGAATTAGCATTAGCAATAGATAACTAAAATTAGCTGATACTTTTCTGATGATCAGTACAATTAAATAGAGAAACCCGTGTCTATTGTCACAGTAATCATTTCAGTATACTGATGTTAGCATTTACCTCAAAATATTTCCAATATTTCCACAGCAACGCCAATCCCAGTGACGGAAATGGTTATTTATTATGTGTAATTATTGCTTCATTGTCTTTGTGAAGGCATCAGCATGCTGCTCAACCTTTTTACGCCCCCCTACAGTAAAAAGACATAAAAAGATACTCCCCAGATGGCCTGTCTCTGCTATCACAAAGACAGGCTGAAAAAATAAATTTCATTTCAATTCACCAGAGAATGTTCAGCCTGAACTCAAAATCTCCCACATTCAGTTCTCATGCTCTCCTTTCATGCATCACAGATATTTCACTGCAGCGTTTCAGGCCGCCTGTTTAGCCACAGACATGATTTCTAAATAAAGCGCGGGGAGGCCGTCCCGGTTTATTCTCTGGGGGGGGGGAACCTCCCCAGAGGCCAGTCGGCCCGCCGGGGCTCTGCAGGCGCCGCTGCAACGGCACATTCAAAAGTAATACGTTATCAAACTGGCAGGCGGAGCTCGACTGTGGGGAGGAGACTCTTTTTTCCCCCTTTGGTTTGTTTTCAAACCCAGAATGCCGATTGGTTTTATTTTTGGCCTTTTCACAGTCTGCAGAAACGTTTGACAGAAGGAACCTCTTTTACACCAGAAGTCACACAACTCAGTTATTGCGTAACGGGTCAGGGATTATTCAAACATCGCGGGGAGGACTTTTTGCTATCAGTGGATCATCAACTATTCAGTGGCATAAGAGGTGGATAACAGATTCACATAAATATCATAATTCTGCCTTTATGAAGTGGGTCAGTAAATGTTTCATGACATCACAGCGAGTGGGACGTCATTACCACAAGTTATGTGTGGTGTCACTTTGGGAACATCAGCGTTTCTGAACCCCGGCTTCGCTTCTTCAATATTCCTGACAAAAAACAGTTATAGACCATAATATGCCAACTACATGATAAGGACTAAGTGAACGTATCCGGTAACACGCTGCGAACACGTGGAATCCGGTCGGCGGCACAGCGCGATCCCGCGTGAATAAAGCATCACCCGCAGGTATGAGAACATCTCCGCGTCACACACACAGGAGATGTTTGAAAACGAAACCTTTAAAAGATTATTCTGGATTAAAAATTGCTTGTCTTGATTCAGAAACTACAAATGTCTTAATAATGTAAAGAGTGTCTTATTAAAGATCCCGACTTTTCCAAGCTTGTAGCAGCTAATGTTGCCACAAGCCGATTGCCTCAAGCAATGTTCATCCGTGTACTGCAGCAGTGCTTAAATTAAATGTACTTCAGCACCCACACACACATAAACCAATTACAAATGAACGGATGGGAAATAAAAATACAACATACTGTTATTTTTAATGGAGATTCTTTTTTTTTTTACACTGTATTACTACTATAATGTAGTTAAGAATCACAACAAATTGTTCATTACAGTTTATGTGGTGGCAAAAACAAATATACAATACCCTGGAATATACAAATGTTGTTGTTGACTGGTTGATGTTGTGATACGGTTGTACACTGCCCCTCAGAGGCTGGGAGCAATACATGAAAACAGGAGAATCACTGGAGATGGGAGCAACAAGCACCTTATTTACAATCATTTTTGTTTTAACAGAATCGTGTAATTACAAGTACATCCGAGAATCAAATAGGTTGATTAAAAAAGAAACGTATATTTACAACTTCAATACAGAATATCATTTTAAATAATGGCGCACATCCCCGGTCCTCTTTTCAGTTTTACATACTCGGGGCGTTTCTCAGAAACTGGTTAATCGCTGACAACTTCAGTGCGCGCTCTCTGCTAGCATGCGGGTGAAGTACATCACTGCAGGCTGTGCCGTGACGTTTTGGATGCTGTAGGCGCGTCCTGTGTGAGCAAAGGACACATCAGAAAACTAAAAACTAACATCAAATTACTGCTAAACGGTCTTAAAAGATATGTGGACACGACGAAGAAGCAATTCAGCAAAAGACAACTAAAACATAATAATTGCATCCTGGTATTGATACAATATCCTTACCACATGGCACCATGAGGGATTGACCGGGATGGAAGCAGGATTCCTTGCCGTCGATGGTTACACTCACAGAGCTTGTTAATAAGTTAAAAACCTTTTCAAAAAAAGAACGAATGTAAGATTATTACAGAAATAAAAAAAACTTATTGTGTGAGAGGACAGAATGAGAGGAACAATATGGGAGAAGTCTACTGACTGTTGTGGCGCTGTGATCCACCCACAGAGGCTTCTTCATGTAGGAGCCCAGCAGGATCTTTCCATTACAGAAGGAGCCACAGTTCAGGTCCAACACGAAGCCAATAGCTCGGCCTTGATGGAAGTACCACTCAAACTGGTCTGGAGAGACTTCTCCACCTTCTGCAGCGACAGGGAACAGGACACAAAACAGTCAACAAAGGGTCTAATGTTGTAGAGCATTTCATTTGATTACACTACAATGTTTCATTTACAACAAAAACATCTTTAAGTTAATCGACAACAGCTGTTTTTTTAATAAAAAAAATTCTTACTGTCGACAGGAACAGACCAGAGACTCCTAAACCACTCCGTCAGGTTGTCTTTGTCCTTCGGCTGTAGGATCAACGGCTTGAGAGGAGGAGCACACAGATCTGATAAAGAGAGAGCAGCGGGCGACCTGTCCGGCATAAAAACTGGAATAAAAAAGGAAGAGAATAGTACAAGTTAATCAATAAAGTTAAAAAGAGGAGGAATCATCTATTTAAAACAAGTGAAAAAAAGGGAAAGAGTACATAAAAACATACTCAAGTTGTCTTCGTCCTCCTCATACTCTATCAGCTCAATCATGGAGGACGGCCCACTTCTGACGGATTGTAACCTGCAGAAAAAAACCCAATTACATAAGGAACACGATCGTGCAGGAACGTTTGCATCCAATAAGAGGGAGATGTCAGGAGGAACAGCATGAACTTCTCCTCACTGGTTCTCCGAATGACAGTTGCTGCCGTGCGGCGCCTCGCGGTTGGCCGATTGGTCGTGTGAGCTTTGGAGTTCAACGGCAGCCGAACCGAGTAAGTCCCCATCGCTGAACACCGTGCAGACGGCGTCCTCGGCAGGAGGAGCAGCGACTCCGCGTCTGCTCGTCCGACCCGCCTCCCTCCTGGGGGCCGTGGCCGGGGCAAGTAGGCCTTTAACAGCTGCCAGGAAGACTGCAGCCTTTGGAGTCGCCAGAAGAGGCGCGGCGGCTCCCCCTCGTTGTTTCCGCGAGGCCGCCGTGTTGCCGTTTTTGGGAGTCCCGAGTCGGGGGGCTCTGCTTCTCCGTTTAGACACCCTTTTCCTCTCCTTAGCAGGTTCAGGCCCCTGCGGCCGGGGGGAGACGCCCTCGGCTTCCTCACACACGTCACCAACCTGCCACCAGTTCCCGGGAGGCTTCCTGCTCCGCCTCTCGGACTCCGCTGCCCTGAACTGCTCCCGGCGCCCTCCGGCAGAGACGGACGCCGGGGTGGTGCACGGTTTTTCATTCCAGGAGTTGTGGTACGCTCTCTGAAATATCTGATCCCCTGTAAAACATCACATCATGGGAAGTTAAGCGTGTATTAGGTGGTACGTTGTTATACTAAAAGTGGAATATTTTTTAAGTAGGATCCATAAGCGTTGGCCTTACCCAAGTTACAGCTGGGGTCTCTTTGGGAGAGGTCCAACGGGCTGGACGGTCCATCCTGGGCCTGCGGCTCTTTCTCAATCTTTTGGAAAACTTTATCTGGTCGACTGGCTTCTCTTGTGTTTTTAATTTTGCTCTGTTTAGTTTCCCTGCCTTTAGATTTATTTGGCTTCCGGGTGGATGGCTGGATCTGGTTTATTTTCTCTAGAACTCGGTCCTTCTTTGTCTTTACAGGCTGCTGGTTGTGCTGCTTTGACTTCTTGGAAGTGGGCCGGCTGTCTGAAGGCTTCGTTTCCTCTGTGATCTGTTGGTTCGCCCACCACTGTCCGACCGGCCTCCTCTTCCTTTTGCAATGAATCACATCTTCTTCAGACGAAGTCTCTTTGGACGCAACAGGGAGTTTCTTCATTTTGTCCTTTTCTTCTGCAACATAATTTTCTGTTTGAGCGTCAGAATTCATCATTTCTGCGTCTGTGGGAGAAAAAAGAAAAGCACAAGAAATTAAACACAATATTGTATACTTTTTTCAATGATATTTTCAAACATTTCAGATTGTAAATGTGTTTATAGTGTATTATTATATTATTCATATGTATATTGTTGTTTAGTGTGTTGCCCAAACTAGCATGGTAGATAAAAAATAAAACTCCCAAAAGTTATTCCAACCCATGAAAAACCACTAGATTAGATTTTTAGAATTTGTAATCTAGAAGATGTGAGGAAAAGAGGAGCTCCCAATTCAACAGCTCAGTTTTTTCTATTCACAGCTATTGATGCTATCCAATGTCAAAACAAAGAGTGGGTTCTCACCTGGAGGAGAGCCCAGGTCTTCAGCCTCTGCGTGCTCCTCACTGCCCCGGCTTTGTTCCTTCTGGGCCTCGTCGCTCGTCGTCTGTTTCACGGCGGCGGATCCGTGCGCCCCCCTCCTGCCCCGCTTTAATGATTCAGCCCGGCTCGTCTTTGCGTTTTCGTTCTCGCATTTTACAGACTTCGGAGCTTTCTTCTCCGTCTTCCGGGGGGCTTTTTCTTTGTGTGTTTCCCCGCCGGCTTTGTCCTTCGGTTGCTCTTCTTGCTCCTTGTCACTTCCTTTAGATGTGGCTCTTTTCTTCCCTTGCTTTTCTTTTGGTTGCTCTTCAAACCTTAAGTCGCCTTCAGGAAGGTCTTCAAGACCGGGCAGTCCTTCCTTATCGCTTCCGGGCTCAGCAATCTTCTTATTCTTCTTCTCTCCCCCTTTCGACTTGTTGGTTCTCTGACGGACGGACTGACTTCCCAGTGTGTTCTTCGCCTGTTCAGATTCCTGCCGTTTTTGTGCCGTCTCTAACGAGCTATCCTTCTTGCTCTTGTCTGTTGAACTGTCTTTGTCGGAGCTGGAGGTTCTCCCCTCTCGCTGTTTTTTTCTTGTGGCAGTTTTAGTCGGGATAGAAAACCAAAGAGGTTTTTCATCCTCCAGAATGAGGAAGTCATCCTCTGGCTCAGCAGAAGGAGTGGGAACTTTCACTGGTGTCTTCCTGGAACTACAACAACGTTTTTATTAAACACGGCACCGTAACAACAAACTACTTTGCTGTTGATCTGAACTCACCATGTGGCTTTGGGCTGCCCAGCATCTCGAAGCTTCATGAGAAAGGCGGTCATGTCATTTTCAGATGTCTTCTTGGGAGCTGCCAGTTCAGGTTCCCGTCTCACTGCGGATGCAGGTGGGTCTCTGCTTTCTTGCCTGGAAAAAAAATAAAAAAAATAAGCTTGAATATCAATCATTTTTCTAAGAATTAAGCTGACACATTGCCTTAAATGTCCACTTTTGCTTTATCATTCAGCCTAAAGTGAAAGCCAAATTAAAAATAACTAAACATTAAAAAGTAATTTCTTCTACCTCTGTGTTTTTTGTTGGCCCTCAAAATCAGATGTTTGGGGTTTCGGGAGGATTTTTTCTTTGACTGTGAGAGTCTCTGTGCTGCATAGGCAGAGACAGACAGACAGACAGACAGACAGACACGTGGTCACTTGTGAATTGTATGTTGAAGAGCATCAAATTATGATGGAGCACTTGGGAGCTAAAAGCAACGGATCATTACACTGCGAATTAAAAAAGGCCCCTACCTCAATCCCACTACCTTGTTTCGATGACTGGATATCTTGGGTTTGTTGAAAACAACATTGCTTGGAGGAGACTCAAACACATAGTCAGGATTTCTAGAGGAAATTACAATATTTTAAAAATACACTGGTTCTGGGTGAGAGTAAAATCAGTGTTAGCACGAGAACCCTAAACTCTGTACTATTCTAAAAGAAAATGCATTAATGAATGCTCACTGCTCTGTGCCGTGCCCATTGCACTGGGGTCCTTGGAGGAGCAGAGGCTCCGTCTTTGCTGCTGCTTCATCGTCACAGGCAAAGAGAATTGGGGATACAACATGATCCTTTTCATTGTCCAACTCTTCAACAACCATCTTCTCTTCAATAGGGCTGGATGTCTTCACTGGCATGTGTGCTTTAAACGGGACGTCCAAATCTGCAACAGAAAAAGTAGCATACTTTAACAAGAAGAACATTTTACCCCCAAAACAGACAAAGTGTCTGAACATTTAATATGTGTGAATTTGGAAAACCAAATATGGGTTTCTTCTGAGTATCTTACCAATTGCTGGTTTAGGACTGGGTGCTGATGCAGGATGAAGTGAATCACCTTTAGGATCCTAAAGAATCACAATAAATAGATATAAAAAAATCAACACACCTAATGCCACCAAATGTTATCCAATTCAAGAAAGGTACGCAAAGCCCAGGAGTAGATATACCAGAGCTTCTGGGACTATGACCAGGCACATAATCAGAAATCAAGAAGTGGAAGCGCTCGGTTACTACTGGCTCATCAGCCCTGTGTGACATAACAGCAGTGAACAGTCACTATTGACTATTGATTACCATTTGGCATCTTTCTGTTAGATGTCCTTCCTGTGGGAGCGGTGAAACCGGTCTCCCACACTGGTTTGGCTCAGTATCAAAGGTCTGAAGCAGACTAGACGAGGGCAACAGGTCATCTTTAACATGTGAGGATGGATCTGACAAAAATATACAAATATAGGTTAATACACTGAAAATACAAAATACCTTCAAAATATTAAAGCAAAACAATTACACACGCAACTTACCCAAGTCATCAAACATCTTGTCAATGTCATCCAATGTCAGAGGTTCCGACCATTTTTTGGGTGGACTTAAAACACAAAAGATCAGTATGATAGTTTCATTTCAACTGACCAATCGCTACCATTCAATCGAAAAAACTAAATAAAATAATTTACACATATAACTTGCATTGTTTGTAATAAATGAAAATAAAACTTTGAATATATAAATACAACAAATATATATGTACAGAGAAAACGACAACCTCCAATGTATTACTATTGCATAAAAGGTCCATAACAAAGAATGCAACAAATAAAGTTTCAGCTGTCATATTTAAGACTTTTTTCATTGTTTTAAGCCAACAAACAGCACATAAATACTCTTCAAAACGTACCTGGTCTTGTTTGTGAGATAGCAGAGTTTCCTCTTTGGTCTCCTCTGTGAATTGATAACATATAACGACAGAGAAGTTCAAATCGGGGACAAAAGATATTTTTTTTGCCAGCTAACGTGATTCCTTAATGCCAAATGTATTAGTTTATTTACATCAAGTTGAAGTTAACGTATTGTAAGCCATTGTTCTTATAACCAACCTTGAATTGAGGGGACATTGGATGAACTAACTAAATGTTATAAGCTCCATGAATTTCGTAATCAACTCTAATTTAAGGCTGTTGCATTGAGTTTAACTAACGTTGCCTGTTATTTCTTTACAAACTGTCCTCATCGGAGTGAAACGTTTCAGGCTCTTCCTCCCGGAGTTGTTATTAAAGTTAACGTGTTTGTTCAGCTTTCAGTCCGCGACACCGCGACCAAAAAAAAAAAGCACAAAAAACGTAACTTACCAGGTTAGAGTATCCCGTCTCCATTTAAGTTAACTAACGCAAATGTTAACTAAGTTTATCTTCCAAAGGCAGTTAATGTTGTACGACGGTTTCCAGCAGCAATCGATGCTATGCTAACGGTTAACTTAGCTAACGTTAGCTAACATTTTGTTTTAAATAACTGCTCCAGCTCGTTTAGCTCCCAGGAGGCATTTGTCTCTCTAAACATTAAGATCATAAGTCGCCCGACAACACATCATCGTGCAAACGATGGCGAGCCCGCTACGTCTCTCATTTGGTAAGGTTAGCGTTAGCGTTAGCAAAACAATGGCGCTGTTGACTAAAGTTATATTCTAATCAACCGCGCATTCTGAAAGGGGGTGGGAACTTTGCCCTGCGTACAGCCTCTCAGGCAGAACATTGCCATTTAGGTCATTAATAATCTGCAGTCTGGGCTTTGCATCTATGAAATCAAGTTAGGTCTGGCCAATACAATCAACTCAACTATCTGGCAGTGACTAAAGTTTGCTGCCAGTGAAGATAAACATGTTGCCTTAAATACTAAATTCAGGGAATGAAATATATATTTCTTATCAGGATGTTCTTCTTCTACATCTTATTTTCCTGCAGACTAAACCCGCAGCTGGTGCATCCCGTTGCTGCCCCCTACCGGTCAGTCATGTCCTGCACCAGTCCTTTTTTTTCATCTTCCATATTATGACAATAGAGCCCACACTCATTATTAGAATAGTTGATATTACACATGATAATTCAAATAATATGTCCAAATGAGAAAACTATAATTACCATATAGTATCCTATGAATAGGCATAAATAGGCCATTGAACATGATTTAAAATGTATGGAACATGAGGCGGATCATAGTTTACGATTTTAATGTTATAACAGTCACGCATCAAAGCCGTATGTGTCGTGTTAACAATAAATATGTTAGGGAACAGACATAAAAGGTTTAAAGACCATCAGCCAAAGTTTAAGTGTATTTTATATCATACTTTATACAATCAGAATCTTACAACATGTATCAACATTTTCTAAATAAAACATTTGTTCAAATAAAGTGAATGTGTTTAGCGAAATATCTTCTTCTGCTTCTCAGCAATCTCCATTGGTTCCATGGTGTCGGGACTGGCGTCTTTGTAGAGCGGCTGTCTGATGTGTCTCCAAACAACCAGACCAATCCGGATGGCAAATAGCACACAGGCGACAGCCAGCAGCACAACTAAGAGAAGAGCACCGAGATGTGACTTTTTAACAGATGTTTCTGCTCAGATGCACTTTTGTATGGGAGTTAGTATTTTACTAACTCCCGGGAGGTAAAAAGTTGACATTGCTTTACGGTGGAGCAATTTAATCAAAGGTCACAATATGACAATAGGACCATACTATCTTCATCAATAATGTCTATATTTACTGTATTACTTTATATCAGTTGTGTTTAAGGGGATATGCCTAAGGACCTTATGTTAAAGTGATGTGGACAGCTGATTGTAGAGACATTTGTCACATATTATTGTTGTGTAGTAGGCTTACCAATGAAAATGCCGCTACGGGTGGGTGATTCCGCATCATAGTTCTTGACCAGGTTTCCACACAGCGCCCAGATCACGACCGGGTAGATGATGAGGATGTACCGCACGTGTCTGTCGAGGACGAAGTTTTCCAAAACAAACCTGGAAAAAACACCAATCCTTAGAATCCCAGCATGTTTTTTGACAGAACTTCTCTAATGACCGTTTTTTGAAAGTAGAGAGCAATCACCACACAAGCAGCAGGACGGACAAAACCGAGTACGAGACGGTTGCAGCATCCGTTGGGGACATCTCTGCATTGTAGGTCAGTACGATGGTCAGGTTGATTAGTGTCGCAATGGTTGTCCATGTGGTGTATATCATCACTCCGTTTTGAACCTGTGAATGAAGTATGATATTTTCTTCTTAGTTAAGCATAAGTGGGCTTTCACATCATACATACACTTTTATATGTACAATATTTGAACGAAATGAGAAGCAATTATTGCGTATTTGTCATACTAACCAGCACACGGAAGAGCCACAGGTCTATCTTGTGGTATTTCTTCAGCCAGGCTCCATAAACATGAAGTCTATGGCATGTGAAGAATATCATGGAGTAGTTTGTGCAGATGACCAGGAAGAGAAAAACCAGTGCAACGATCATCTCTCTTCAGTAGGACAGCAGAGAAATGAGGTATGAAAACTTAAATTAGGTTGACTAATTCACAAACGACAATCAAAGGAGCCATTGGAGCCCCTCACCCTCGGTCCCAGACAAGCAGCCAGCCAATGTTGACGCACAGATTCAGGCACCAGCTGACGAAGAATCCATAAGGCAACACTGCAGGGCTGCAGTAGACGTAGCCATAACCATTCCTGCGACAAAAAAGAACCACAGTTTATGCTTCAGTCTGTACAATGTCCACAGAACAGAGATTGTCAATTCAGGCAACCGTTCTTTGTTAATACTCAACAAAACAAAGCGATTAAAAAGATACAGGTTGCTGTTTGCACTTCTTAAAGGGAAATTGACACCAACTTTCTGAAAAGTCCAGCGATGATGTAGATTATCATTAGCGTCAGCCAGACGTAGATGACGCTCCAGATGCTAAAGGTCCAACCCGATGGTGTGATCTGGGTGTCGAACACTGCAGACACGTTTCCCGTGGTGGTACCATAAGGACCTGTCGGGACAGAAGAAGAAGGCGACTCGTGAGGAAGGACAGGAGTGTAACATGTTGTATTATTCGTGAAACAACTTTAAAAGGCTCATTGACAAAGTGAAAATTGAAACTAGAAACAACGATAAGAAAGCTTTGACTTACCGACTCCGACCACAGAAAGCCCGTTGAAGACCAAACTTATTGCATAGCCGACAACAGAAACCACTACGGCAGCGAGACGTCCTGGATTGTGTTTTTTCATTGTGGTCTATTGCGATAACTGAAAACGATTGAAAAGAGGAAACAAATGAAGAATGAAAGACTTACAATGGAAATATGGAAAGTTACATGTGCAGATTAGATTTTTGGTACATTTACTACATTGTAGCATTTTTTATATAGTTAGTAAATAGTGTTTTGCTCAAAGAAATGTGTCCTGGAGGAAGATATGTAATCCCTTCCAACTCTATACCTGAAAACCTGTATTCTAACCTGACATGACAAGTGATAATAATCCCTCACCTCATAAGGCATTCAAACAATTACATTAAGTCGTTCTGCTCTAATAAATCCCCAGTTGCCTTATTTTGAAGATCGCCACCATAAAAAAGCATTTTTAAAAGCCTGTTAAAAAAGTAAAGAAAAGAAATTTAATAATACATTTAAAAATCAAGTTATATCTTTCTGATGTCACAATTTATGTAACTTCAGGAAGGTCCACACTCCACTGCTGCGCAGCCTGCTTTCTTTCAGGATGGTAAAACATTGGCAGAAAAAAAAAAGTGCCTACATGATAAAGACCTACCCTCGTTTGGCCTTCTCTTTGTGAGCTGAGTGACTGTGGAGAGTAACCCGGACCTTCTCTTTATAGGATAACTAGTTGTGTAAGGAGGTTTACAATCATCACGAGCTGCTCTTATCTTACATACATTTCTGCCATCCTGCAGTGAGTAATAAAACAATAAAACGTGACTGAACAAATATTTTCCTTCATAGGATCAATTATTATGAAACACAGTGAATGGTAATCTATATGCCTTGTCAAAGCTCTTTCATCGGAAATTAAACCCTGTGTCCCTAGGAACGGACAATTAACGTTTAGATTAACTATCTAAAGTCTAAAGATCAGGCTTTGTTTCGAGATGACATGAGATGAATCTGGCAGAGTTTGATATTCGACATAAAGTCAACCATTCAGTTTATATACTGCAGACAAATCCCCAAATGACCCGAATGAACCAGCCAGAAGGCCGATTGATGACCGTTCTTGTTCCGTAGTTTTTTCACGTAAGACCAGTTTGAACTGTTTATATGCAATAACATTTTTCACTCGACATTTTGTTTTTCTTTTAACTTATATTTTTTTTGGTTTTATTCCTCATGTGTTTTGCTGTATTTTTTGACATGCACACTTGTCAGTTCGTTAACTTTCTCAGAAAGGCGTTTACAGTACAATAACATCAACAAATAGGACAGTTACTCATGCAGCAGTTGATGAATATAATGTATGATCCCTTATGTTGGCATAGGGGTACTTCAACAATGTAGGTATCTGTCATCGCTCACATACCACAATGTATTCCACAGAAACGGAAGATGTTAGGAAAGTCACATTTATTTTTAAAAGCATATAAAATGAAACACAGGCACACATAACATTTTTCTAAATACAGCTGAAATTAATTAAACATGTCATTACAACCCAGAGTGCAGTTTGAGAACAGCGTGTATTTAAAGCTGAGCACATGAGACAACTTCAATTTGTCCTCAGCAACATTCCATTTAATCTACTCATCTTTGTAAAACTCATTTTAAGAATCTAGATTTTGTGGCAAAAATCAGTCATACAGTCAAGCGTTTAGAATTTACACGTCATACAGGAACACTACTGCATGAATACAGAAAGGTTTATCCTCAAAGTATCGATCAAACATTCTTAGATGAATATGTTTTTCTGCCTCCCAGCGATCTCCATCGGAGACATGCTGTCCGCGCTGGCGTCTTTGTACAATGGCCTTTTGATGTGCTTCCAGGTGACCAGAGCTATCCGTGCAGTGCACATGACACAGGCTGCGGCCAAGAGTATGGCTGAAATGCAAAAGAAGGAAGCGTTAGTCTGCATATACTTTCTGACTCCTTTGTGTACGTTTTTAAAAAATGAATCACAGACGATGAAATATTTGCAGAATAGTGAACGCATGAATGCATGAAGCATCCAGGGCAATGAGGATTGAGATTGACAAAGGAGTCCCTCACTGGTGAAGATGTTATTTGGACTGGGATCTGCAGCGTTGTTGTTCTTCGAGAACACCCCGGTCACCGCCCAGATCACAAAGGGGTAAATGGTCAAGATGTACCTCACATGTTTGTCGAGGACAAAGTTTTCCAGGAAGAACCTGCAACAAAAAACACACAAGAAATTTTCTCCTGACATGCGTTTTTTTTTCTTTCACTTCTTACAAACTTCTGAAAAGTTGTCCGCTTTCCACGTACCACACGACCAACAGTACAGTCAGAATCGACAGGGAGGCGGTGGCAGCGTCCGCTGGGGACACGTTGGCATTGTAATTCAGCACAATGGACAGGTTGACCAGAGAGGCGATTGTTGTCCACGTCGCATATATGGCGATGCCGTTCTGGACCTGTAGTCGAGACAACAGGAGAGGCTTGTTGACACAGACGACGTTGCCGCAGGTGAACAGACAAACGCGAGCTTGCAATTGAGGCGCCACAAGGTACCAACCAGAACGCGCTGAAGCCACAGGTCGACTTTGTGGTACTTGCTGAGCCAGGCGCCATAGTTGTGGAGACCATGGCAGGAGAAGAATATCAACGCGTAGTTCGTTAGGGTGATTAGGATGAGGAAAGCCAGCGCGGCACCCATCAACCTTTAGGGAGGAAAAGTGAAACAGTCCATTTATTTTAGTCAGTGATTATGTTCAAAGTGTTGATACACAGGATACTTTTAAACCGCGGTCCCTCCCAGGTTGATGACACACGCCCATGGGAATGCACGAGGATGCAGCCAACGCCATTTAATAACACAGAAACACATTAAAACTTTCAAAGCCATATTTCCGGTACTCCAGAGTATGACGTCAGGCTCAAACCGGCTCTTGAGAATGTGCTTCAAATCTACTTAGAGTCATTCGTTTGCGTGAACCAAATTACTGAAGATGTTTTTTTAAGACTATCAAAAGAATTGCTGAATGATTTCAGCAGAAGTAAAAAAGAAGAAAAAAAAAGATCCCATCTCACTTTCTGTCCCACATGAACAACCATGTAGTGTTGAGAGTCAGATTCAAGCACCAAACCACATAAAATCCATGTGGCAAAACAGCCGGACTGCAGTAGACGTAACCGTGCGTATTTCTGAAGAAAGAAAATCAGGTAAAAGTTTGTGCCAGAACACGAGACACCACACAGGACACAACGACTTATAGGAGTTAAGGTTAATTCTTACTTTCTAAAGATGCCGGAGAGGACGTACACCAACACCAAAGCAAGGAAGATGTAAATGAACGACCAGATGATAAAGGTCCATCCTGCTGGTGTGATCTGGGTTACAAACTCATCTGAAATATTACTGGTGGACTGTAAAAATGGATCTGTGGGACACAAATGCAAAATGATGAAGAGGCAATAGCAAACCACAAAATAATGCACATAAGTAGAACATTAAAACGTACGTTTTCCAGATGCTGCCAAAGCAGAGAACACCATGGTGATGACGAAGAACACCACAGCCAGCGCTATGGCGATCAGCAGGGTGATGCTGTGCTTTGACATCGTGAGCGTTATCTAAAAACATCAGTACTATAAATTAAAACACAGAAAACAACTTTCTCCTGCAGCTCTGAACAATGTGTCATTCAATTCATTCTTCAAATCAGATAAAAAAATAAAAGAAGCTGTCTACCCACCGTTTATGGAGCCGCCTCAGGTTGAAAGCGAGTGAAACACAGAGTGCTGCAGGGAGCGGCTTCTTGTAGGCGTGAAAAACAGCTGCTTGTGTAACAGCCGGGACTTTCATAACCTGTCTGCACGTGTTTGAACGTTACATACAGCTGTTGGCAGAGTCAAAGGAGGACTGGATAAGATGATAAAAATCTGGAGTATATGACAGGTGCTTCATAAGTGAATTATAAAGTGTGTCAACGCTGGACTTTGGGCCAGAAGTAATGTTTGGTAACAGGAATATTTCAACCAATGAAATCTGTCTGTGTGTAAGCAGGTGAACACACACACACACACACACGTGCTCTTTACTGTGGAACTCCGAATGACCCTTTACTATGAAATTGTATACTGTTTGGGTATTTTCAACAGTGGGGAAAGTAATAATTATCCTCAAATTTGACATCTTGAGGTACTTTGCAATCATCTCAGAGGGAAATAATGTTGTTTTTTTTAATATATCTGGCTGCTTTGCAGATTAGGATTTTATAATAAAAACTAATTTGTACTACATTATTGTTACTACAGATAAATGTATCTTAATATTACATGTTAATATAACATTAATATTAAGATAGTCATATAAGGGGGCATTGTTCAACCGTTTAGTAACAAGGATTTATCATCTGATCAAAGCAGCAGGAGGAACCACAGATTGTTTTATGATTATGATGCATTGAGTTATAAAAGGCTGACTTGGCTTTGCTATTAGAAACGTTGTGTGACTTTACATCTCACCTGAATTAATTATATGTCACTCACTTATTGTAGTATTTTGCACATTCAGATCTGCAAACAGTTTCTTTCTTATTATATAGTTCAAAAACCTGTCATGCTAAACAACATCTCCATAGTTTGACCTATTAAAAAAACACTTTTACAACAAGAGAGCACCACTTTTCCAATATTTATTCTTGGTAAAGTAAACAAAAAAAACAAACAGTTCTTGGCAGTTTCCTAAAGGGTATAGTTGTTGTCACTTGACTTCCTCGATGTTTGATAACATTTTGTTATTAACGTTAGAAATTGTTGGTGTCGACTAACTGTGATGCAACATCATCGCAAAAAACAACAGCAAAGTCAAACATTTCCCTTCGAACTGAGAACCCCAAACAGTCCAAGTCGTGAACCAAATCCCAAAACATCTGTGGCAATTATTTACAGTATTTTTGACCTTCATCGGGTCTCCCAGTGTCTTTCCCCGGCTCCTAGAACCTGGACCCCGGCAGCATCCTCGCAGCCTCCCCCCGCCGTGCCTGCGGACAGTACCGGCGCGTGTGCGCGCGGTCCCCGGTGGCCTCGCAGGTGGGACAGGTGTAGTTCCGGAGGATGGGGCAGATGACCTTCCCCTCGTCGGATTTCAGGCTGTGGGACCGGTACACCCTGGCGGACTCCCCGTTCTGCTTGCAGAAGCGACAGTGGCCCGAGGAAGTCCCACTGCTGCTGCTGCTGCTGTCCGAGAGGCCGGAGAGGCTTCCTACCGAACCATTATCCGGGGAGTTTACGCAGCTCCCCCGCGGAGAAGTTTGGATGAGGCTCCAAGGCGTCGCCGGGGCTTCTTTTGCTTCTTTCGCTGCGCCTTCGAGGTCCCCGGTGGGGTCCGTTTCATCGTGGCACAGCCTCTCCAGCAGTCCGCCCAGGTTCATGTAGTCGTGCCACATGTCGAAGCGGTCCCCGGAGGACGGGAGCGAGCTCTGGGCCAAGACTTGTCTTTGCATCGCTGTCATCTTTTGGAGAGAATTTCTTCGCAGAGTTTGTGCGCGCGTTTGGAGAGTCTCGTATTTGTAGACGTGGGTTGCTTTTAATGTGCAACAATGTTTTGATTGAGTCGTCTGCAAACAGATCGATTACAGGTGTCTGGATAGACAAAAAAAACACAACTGTTGTGCAGTTGGGGGGGGTTTCTTTTATCTCAGAAACCTATAATTTAGCTTGACCGCCTTATTAGGACCCAGATGAGAAGTAATCCGATAATATATTTAGCAGATGCACCTGTTGTGTTAAAGTGTCAAAGGGTCAGACAGAGTTAATGCATTATTTGAACTGGATTTGGCGCAATAGTCACTTGCAAAAAAATCTCATCCTCCACACACACACACACACACACACACACACACACACACACCGTCAAATACAAATACAATAGATTAATCCAAGTGAATAGGTCTAACTTATGTAAGTATGCCGTGATGAAACTAATAATAGTGAACACGATGAAGCGAGAAGATGATTCGATTATAGTAATTTTCCCAAAATTAACCTGCGATGCTGGTGATGAATAACTGGGGTTATTACCACCATGTCAATTATTACAAGGCTTGTTGTGTGTGTTTTTTGTCTTTGCTGCTGTTTTTCATTCATGTGAGCGTCTCCCCTGTACTGGTTTTGTTTATTTCACCATCTGTGATGGGTGTTTGTTGTTTAGTCGTGCGGCCACACAGACCGGCCACGCCTCCGCCCGATCGCCGCTGGCGCCGGCGCGTGTCTGGCGCACTTTCAAACTGTATCATTGTTAAATGTTCGTGCAACTTTCACAACACCTGCACTGCACTTAGGCTGCCCGCTCACACAACTGAGGGGCCGACGGCTGCATCCTCCCTCCTTGAAGTTGTCCTTTGGGAATGCTTGTCTTCATCTGCGCGTTTGACCCCCGGCACAGGTCGTTTCTTGGAACAACGTATGCAATCTGCGCCGCGTTGCCAAGCAGACACACACGTGTTGTGTATGCCAAGTGTATTACACATTCAAAGCAAGCGTGCGGTGTGTTGTAATTAAAAATAAAAGAAGCTGTCTTTCTAGCCCTTTACAAAGCAGACGCGTTGCGTGGTTTGGGGCGGAGTATAAATAAGTGCGGGGGAATTTTAGGCAGGGGGCGTGGTTTACATCGCGCATGCGCACTGTCACACCGGCGACGACTGTTCTGACGGTGGCCTAGTGAAAAACAAGGGGATTACAGAGCCCATTTTGACAGGTCAGTTAAAAAAGAAATAAACATATTGATGAGTGCGCGTGTGGTATCCCTTTGTATCGAGAAGCTCATTTGATTCTTAATATTGGCAACGTATGAAAAAGATAGCGCTGTCGCATGAGATAACGTCACATTTCGAAGCTAGCGCTAACGCTAATTCAGCTAGCTTCTGTCAGCTTTCGGTATTTGTGCTAACAGCGGCTGTGACATTAGCTACAGCGTTAGCTGACAAAGTGTTCCGCTCCCGTATGCCTATTCTTCGATAATTCTATATTGTTTGTTTTAAATCGATAAGGAGAAGCAGCACCCTAAAACATTAGATAATGATATATTTGGTTGTTTATTAATCACGCCGTGTCAAGTGACATTAAGCTAACTGGCTAGCTGGCTAAGTTGTATTCTTAGATCCCCCAATTTGATTTGCGTAAAGGCTATTGCGCTATTTAGCCGTAAACGACAGTTACCTCTTACATACGGCAGTTTTACCTGTTAGTGATTGTTTATGGTTGACATTAACTGACAAATGTAGAAAACTGGAGGGGGAACCCTACGTACAGCGTAAGATATTACATACGGACATGCATGTATGGACAGACAATAGTTGGCGTACAAAAGGACTTTGTCATCTATCCATCTTACTTCAATTGTTGTATCCAAACTTTATTTTTGGTTTCTGTATCCCTCTAGGCTTCACAATGAGTCAGGTTAAGGACAATGCACGACTCAAGAGCTACAAGAACAAGTCCCTCAACACAGATGAAATGAGACGAAGGAGGGAAGAGGAAGGCCTACAGCTTCGCAAACAGAAGAAGGATGAACAGGTGAGTGAATTGGCGGAGGAAGTCTTTTAGAGTTAGACCACTTCAGCAGAAGATGAGTGTGGACATGTAATAAGGGGGTTTGTTTATGAAATGATGTCCTGCCAGTAAGTTAATGTCTGAGTGGTATATTAAATCCATGTTGTGTTCCTAGCAATATAAGGATGAAGAGGAAATATGCTAAAAGAGATTTTAAAAAGTTTTTTGAATGTGGTTTATGTTATAGCTCTTTAAGAGGAGGAATGTTGCCACTGTGGAGGATGATGGCCTCCCAGAGGAAGATGGAATGGCGGATAGCGGCTATTTGGAGTCCCAGGGTAACAACGTGGACCCAGTTACAGTAAGATGATAATCAAATATCCCTGCTATCCATCTACGTGTCATGCAGAGCATGTACGAAGTCATATGACAGCATTCCTTATATGTTGATCTGATTTGCATATCTGTGCTTTACAGGGTGGGGTGATCTCTGAAGACATGACTCAAATGATCTTCTCCAGTAGTCCTGAGCAGCAGCTAATAGGCACTCAGCGCTTTAGGAAGCTCCTTTCTAAAGGTAAGGGTGCTATAGATTGCCCTAATTCCTCATAGAATAGTTAAATTGTTACAAGAGCTGTATGACAACATAAAGCCATGACATGTTATTTTGAATACTTGAGACAGTTCATTTATTTATTGATTCAACGATGTTGTGAAAAATATTGCTATATTATTTTTATTCACTCCTTTTTCACTTAGAACCCAACCCACCCATTGATGAAGTCATTGCCACTTCAGGGGTGGTGGAGCGCTTTGTGGAATTCCTGAAAAGGAGAGAGAACTGCACATTGCAGGTACATTTCCTTAAAGGATCTGAGTCAACATTATTTGAAACATGCAAAGGCAGCACAGAAGGGCCTGTCTTTCTGTGAGGCGACACTGCTAGCGAATACACCAACGTGCAGCTCCACAAGCGATCATTGTGTAGTAAATATTATATATTTTTACCGTTTCAGTTTGAAGCTGCGTGGGTGTTGACCAACATTGCATCAGGCACATCCCATCAGACTCGGGTGGTAATCCAGGCTGGTGCTGTGCCCATTTTCATAGAGATGCTCGGCTCTGATTTTGAAGACGTGCAGGAACAGGTAGGGAGAATTGAGACTTACTTTTTTTCTTGTCAACAGACATTTCATGTCTCCATTAAAACGTAATTTTCATAACAACATATATTTTTTTAACCGACTGGTCTAATGAAACCTAATCCTGATATTTGATACTGTACAGTTTCACTTTGTTTGTCGACTGACCTGAATAATTGCTTTGCCCCTCAGGCAGTGTGGGCCTTGGGAAACATAGCAGGAGATAGCACAGAATGCCGAGACTTTGTCATAGACTGCAACATTCTGCCTTCCCTGGTGCAGTAAGTAACCACTCATTTGTCTTTCTCATGTTGTTACTTAAGAAAATACAGAGTAACTTTGATGCTGCATCCTGAACAAAACATACCACTTTGGCAGATTATTGGCCAAGCAGAATCGTCTAACTATGATGAGAAATGCTGTGTGGGCGCTATCAAACCTGTGCAGAGGAAAGAACCCACCTCCGGACTTTACTAAGGTAATTTGCCAAGATAAATATGTCGCTATGGCAACAGCAAACCTCTCACATTGCTTAAGTATATCATTTCTTACTTTCACGGTCAAAAGCTTGATAGAGCTGCTTGCGTGTTTCAATAGAAATAAAAATCATGTTAAAGCGAACACCAGGACGTTTTCTTTTTTCCCACTCCAGGTGTCCCCGTGTCTCAGTGTGCTGTCTTGGCTGCTGTTTGTCAATGACACAGACATCCTGGCTGATGCGTGCTGGGCTCTGTCCTACCTATCAGATGGCCCCAATGACAAAATCCAGGCTGTTATTGACTCGGGAGTTTGTCGCAGGCTGGTGGAGTTACTGATGTAAGGCTTGCATGTTGTATGCTTAACATGTTTGAAGATTGCACATCTCAGCTATCAATTTTTTGAGAAGAGCAATGTTTGCAATCTAGCTGGATGATGATGTCTTGTAAAGGTTTCCAAACAGTATTTGACTATTGTTTGACTGAGGCTTCACCAGCTTTGTCTAATATCAGGGGACACAGACCTCCGATCAGACATTACAATTCTGCCTTGTTTATAGGCATTCGGATTATAAGGTGGTATCCCCTGCACTGCGAGCTGTTGGGAACATAGTCACTGGAGACGATCTGCAGACACAGGTAAAGACCCGATGTATACACACACACACACAAAAAGCTGTTCTTCTGGACAAGGTAATTGAATACTTGTAAATTGATATTTATTAATTATGTTGTGTCTAATTGGTGCGGTTGCCTAGGTGATTTTGAACTGTTCAGCACTGCAGTCCCTACTTCATCTCCTGAGTAGCCCCAAGGAGTCCATAAAAAAAGAAGCCTGCTGGACGATCTCCAACATCACCGCAGGGAACCGAGCACAAATACAGGTTTGCGTTTGAATAACTTAAATTAAGGTTCAAAATTTTACATGAGCATTTCCTCCTCCAATAAATTATTTCCCCCTCTTAATAGATGGTGATAGATGCTGGCCTGCTGCCTCCTCTCATCAATATCCTTCAGGTAGCGGAGTTTCGCACAAGGAAGGAGGCAGCCTGGGCAATTACCAATGCCACCTCAGGGGGCTCTGCAGAGCAAATAAGGTAAGAGCACTTCATCGGGTTCCTCCACACTACCTCCGATATCCATCCACACGGCCGTTTCAGTATAGTTTTCAAGATTTGCTATAAATTACTAATAAATGTTTATCGCTGTATGTGTTTATCTGCAGGCACCTTGTGGATCTAGGCTGTATAAAACCTCTGTGTGACCTGCTCACACTTATGGACTCCAAAATAGTTCAGGTGGCTCTAAATGGCCTCGAGAACATCTTGCGACTGGGAGAACTGGAGGCCAAGAGGGGAGGAGGCATCAACCCTTACTGTGCCCTCATTGAAGAAGCCTATGGTTAGTGTACACTGACGCACGATTAAAATGTTCTCATTCATGCCAGTTACATTTAGCGATTCTGACACCAACTCAAGTACGCTTGTCAATTAGTGGACGGATCAGAACAAGATGTTTAGTTGGTGTTTAAGACCATTAAACCTGATCAACGACCTGTGCAATAACTATTATATTTTGGTTTCTGTCTGTTAATTCGTTAATCAAAGGCCATCTCCCCTTCTCACAGGTCTGGACAAGTTGGAGTTCCTGCAGGGACACGAGAACCAGGAAATCTACCAGAAAGCTTTCGACCTGATCGAGCGCTACTTCAACACCGAAGACGAGGACCCGTCTCTGGCGCCAGCCGTCGACCTGCAGCAGCAGCAGTTCCTCTTCCAGCAGTGCGAGGCCCCGATGGAAGGCTTCCAGCTATAATGCTAAATCCCCCCCCCCCCTCCCCTGTGTGCTCCACCTTCATCGTCACCTCTGCTCATTTCTCACTCTCTGCCGCGATCAAGGGTTACGCTTCACACGGCTCCCCTCGGCACCAGAGAGATTGATTTAATCATAATCATGATTATGGAAAATGTAACATTACAGAAGCACTTGTGTGTGTGTGTGCGTAGCGTCCGACGTGGGTCACGTTCTGCAGTCCTTTCAGCCAGTTTGTGACGGTGCCACTTATCATTCTGCGTGCGATCCCCACATGCCTGCTCAGGCCCCGGGGGGGTCTCCTACCAGCAGGTTGTCCCTGCAAAACCACCCTGTCGTACCTTTTGGATTTTCCTCAGCTCATCCCAAATGGAAGGCACTTCTCAGAGTTCTCGTAGGATTGGCCGACCCGATGTCTGATTAGGTTAGGTAAGCATTTAGTACTCACAAGACAGACGGACATGGACGTGATTTCTTCCCCCCCTCTTCCACAGACACACACAGAGAAGAATGATCAAACCCGAACACTGGACTGACCATGAGACGTGGATCACATGTCTGACTGTGGTCTTGGGACTGGACTGCCCACAATGGGACCTCATGGCCAGTCCCAACCCAAGAACTCAACTGACCTCTACTAAAGGCACTTAAATAACTCAAAAATGGAGGTTGAATTCCTTCACCTCCTCTCTCCGGCCATTGGATAAGTTACTACAGATGGACAAATTAGGAACTTGACTGTCGCTGAGGGGTGGAGCTTGTCCACCAGGCTGCTTGCAGTCCCTCCTGGATCTCATATCATGCATTCCTTTATCCAGCTATGGGACTTTCCACCTGCACCGGCTTCATCCTCAAGGGTTTAGACTGCCTCTGGTGTGACGTGAATAACCCCATGGAGCCACGGGAATTGGAGTCTTCCCTCGCACTGAGACAATTAGACTGACTTGGACGAGACAAAGCAGACTATTTAACCGTTGGAATGTGACCAGCAGCAGACCAGCGGGAACTTTTATCTTTCCTTAATTTCATTTGCAGCACTTTAGTTCCGGACCGATGCCTGCTCCTCAACAATCTACCATAGTTTTTGCATTGCATTGGTTGGTGACACGGCTTTTCCCTCTTCAGGAAGCAAGGCGTAAACAAAAACAAAAAAAAAGTGTGGTCTGAATCTGCGACCTCCTTCTTGATAAGGTTTGATAAGGGTTACAATGTATGTCACTGTTTTACCAGATTCTGGACTGAAACTCTTAGCACACTAATTACGATCAGTAGATTATGCTGCCTCAGCAAAGCAAGAAACGCTGCATTGTATCAAGTCAGACTTTTGGAAAATTGGCTGTTAAAACACAAGCCGTCGAAATGTCTTTCCAGTACACATTCAGGTAGCATTTTACAATTTCATCTGCCGCGACACAAACATGTATCAGCTATTGGGCCTGAAGCTGGTCTTTATTCAAAACATTTGTTTCTTTTAGCGGTTAGCATCTGCCATGTTGTTGATGGTGCCATAAATCCAGATAAAATGTTCAATACTGGTGATCACCTTAGTTAAAACCGAATGTTTGTTTACCGAGCCCTCTTAACATTGCTTACTTTTATCAATCTCTGCAAGAGATTACCAGCTCTACATGTTGATTACGGTTTGTTGTATTGAGTTTGTGCAACTGTCCCTGTTACGCCATTTGCATAAAAGCTGGTTAATGAACCACAGCGCAAGTGAATCAATTTCATTGTAGCTTGTGTGCAGGTTGAATCACTTTGAAGTACCGACGCCCAGCTGAAGAAATGTTGTGCCTCTGTGACAAGTTCCTCTGAAGATTTTCTCATTTGTCTATTGCCGAAAAGTAACCGAGATCACTAGGATGCAGTTTACATCAAATTAGATCATGTCATTAAGTCAGAGGGGCATTTTCAAGAAGCTATACTTTATTTTTTTTGGTGTTGACTGTATACAAACATAGATCACATCAGCCATAAATCAACCAGCCTACCTACATAAGTACCAGGACACGAGAACACATCGTAGTAAACAGACAACCTCCCCGGGGCTTTTGCCTTGCTAATGTTAGATAGAAGTCTACTAGAAATGTTGACAGAAAACCTAAATTGATGCAGCTGTTCAATTGATTTGTCTGACAATCGTTTTGATTCTTTATAAACTCATCAAAATACCACATTAACGCAGTCACGCTCGTGTTTTCGACCTTGAAGGCAACTAAAAATGTTGACCGGGCCCTTTCCTCACAAACTGGTGCCAGTTTATGGCCTCAATGTAGTCACTGAAGGGGTAAAACCACATATCCAAGATGAATAAGCCATAGTTTGTGTTTTTAAAAAGACAGTATCCTTAACTATTACATATCAGCTCTGATATACGTTTTCTGCTCTACGATGCCATCGGAGTACTGAGGGGGAGGAGTTTGCAGGAACGCGTTGTCTTCCATCACTGAGCCTTCTCTGACAGAACAGCAGCAGCAGCGTCCTTCTCTCTTTGAATGTCCTCCCTCCATTTAGCTTTTTTCTCCATGTTTTGACTCGTCAGGGACTCGTTCCTGCCAACAGCCTGCGACGAAACGAGACAAATTACAGACAAAACTAGAAAAAGAAAATCTCAGCTCCCCACAATTGTATTTGCGCTAAAATAAATAACTTGTGTAAAGCAAAGTGATTAAATAATGAGCACAGACGCAGAGACAAAACCACTCTTTGACATTGTAACAACGAAACTAATCTGAGGGGAAAAACAGTTGTCAGTACAAACAGTCCGTTGTCTGTTGCCACTGACCCGTTTGCCCAGGAACACCATCACCAGACAGGCGCCCAGTGTGGCCGCCATCATCACGTAGCAGGCTTTCACGCGCACTTTATTTCTAGCAGCATCAATCATCTCAAACCTGTGGCGCGGGGAGATGGACAAGCAAACGTCAGCATAGCCAGATATTATGCAAAGTGCCGTTCTCAGCACACTATTAATGTCATGCACGTTTCATCATACAACGGCAATGTGTCAACGACTGCCGCCGGATATTTATTCTCATCTCATTCTTTAAAAGCAACAATTATTTCAGCATCATTTCAACCCGAGTGATTTTTGGTCCATTATGATCGCAGAATGTCTGCCGTTTGACTGCGTGACAGTCGGCTTTTATCATTGTCAGATCTTATCACATGATCTTTACTTAATTACACAGCAATTACTTCCAGACAAAAACAGATGCCATGTTTGAACTTGGAATATTAGCTGCCCACAGCAGAAACCCTTCCGATCCAGTTAGTTCGCCCTGTTCGTGCAAATTATCTTAACCACATCACACACAGGGCCAATCAGACGCAAGTGTACTGGGAGGTCTGGTATAAACAGGAAAAGGCTCCTTACGACACAAGCTCTGGTATCTGGTCTGCTGTCTTGAAGCGTCCCGACCAGAGCAGCATCTTCTTGTCCAGATTGGAGGGTCTGTAGCCGGGGACTCTGAAAGCGGGACGGGGCTCTGTGTGAAAGGAAGCACAGGTTGAAATGAACGTACAGAGTTCAGTGTTGTTCACTCCGTCCACCCAGATTGTATTTCCACTTCCCTTGTCCCGCTGGGACTTAACAAAACAATCACACTCTTGCTATTGCAACAAGCAACTGGCGATGTACAAAATCTTCTGGCAGTCAATATGGGAACATGGGGTTGTGGAACATACAACAGTGATTTTGAAGATTATTTTAAGTTTATTTTTGCTTTGTTGATCGATCGATCTTAAATGTAAACTGTAAAAAAAAGTTACAATTGACACAAGACAAAAAAGGTCTTTTCGGAGTTCCAGGTGGGAGATTTGAAGCATTATTGACTCACAGGACAAGTAAACCTGGACAGGATCGTGATCCAACTCTACCTTGTGCTGGGTCTGCTGGCAGAGGCTCGGCTTTCACCTCCTGTGGTTTATTGCACATCCCTCTGTGGCTCCATGTTTCAGTGACCGGTCGGTCCTTTCGGCCTGGTGAGATATTTTTAAAAATACCATCAGTGAATCGGACCTATTAGGAATAACAAGTAAATTGAAATGGTTTCATTTAGGTTGAAATGCTAAGTAGCTGCCTTGATTTATAAACAGGTCTTTGAAAAGTGTTGGGAAATTAGGGGAATGTCAAATTCCTGAAGTTGTTAGTTTTGTCAAAAAGAATGTCATGACATCACAACGGAGTAGCTCTAAGATTTGTCTTTTTTTTTTTTTAAAGTTGCAGTTACTGATAATGTTTCTGTTCTAAAAATGTAACCTCTAAATCATATCACAATATCACGACTAATAATGAATGAATAAAACAAGTACGGACGCGTGTCGGCGTCACAAAGCCTAAACAAAGGGTCACGTTTCTCAGGATTCAATTTGGGTGTAAACCTGTACCCGCCATACAAATGTCACAAATACAGGTACCACGCCTTTCGTAGTCACGTGATAATTTACTCACGTTAGAGAATGACATTTAAAAAACGAGGTAAACAAATAGCATTTAACCATCACCAGCTGGTCGTATGCAAGATTACTACACCTGCAGCATGTTGCTAGTACGTAACGTTAATATAAAGCAACTAATGTCACGTTAACTAGTTAACTTGGTTATACCCCGATTTCGAGTAATACGAGAGACTTGCAGGCAATTACTGAAAAACAACAAATAACCTACACATTTAATTAAAGAATACAAACCTATAAAGTTGCCAATGGAGAAGCGAGATCGGATGAAATTCATTTTTATTTTACTTATTTAAGTTCACCGTCTCTAAACACCCATCAAATTGTCTCGTAACACCTCGTCTTCCGCGAGCTGTTGAAAGTCAGCCAACTGCGTTCATAAAACTAACCCAACGGACCCGCTAACAAGCTGAGGAGCACGTAGCGTTTGCCTGATCAGAAAGGATAATTTTCCTCCACCATTATTGTCAACCGTGCATAGTTAGAGTTGTAGCTTAATTTGGGTTATTGTGCATCTGCGACCAGACATCACAATAGTGACTGGTTTGCCTTTGGTTTCCGGGTAAGAGGCAGGGGACATTTGAAATCGATGTGGCTCAGACTCTTGACACAACAGGATCCCGCAACAAGTTACGTAACTCAACTGTTCATTCTCAATTATTTCCGATGGTACTTATATTAAAATATGTACGTTGTCCCTTTTCACACACTGTGTTAACTCTTTCGATATCAGGAATGAACGGGGTAAATATAATACAACGTGGTCGTGTTTCTAGCTTGACCGCGGTGGTTTGTACTCAGGCATCGTATCGAACAGTCACGTCGCGCTGTTTGCAGAACGGACCAATCAATCCACCATGGCAGCGTCCGGTGGAACTTTAAACTGTGAGGACTTTTCAATGTTTCAGGTAATCTTTATTATATTTCAACAATCCTTCTTTCCGTGTCATTGATTTGCTGCGGTCTGAATCGGAACCTGGTAAAAGTTCACATGTTGTGGTTTTTAGTTTCTGTGCAACGTCAAGTCAGTGAATGGTTGACCCTCCTGATCACTACTGGTCACACGGACTGAACCAGCAGGGCTGAAACAGCACACGGTTTGAAAATCGCTGTCACGGGATCTCAGATGAACCCGGTTGGCCAGCATGGGATGTACTTCTCCTGTTGAAGTCGATTCATCTCCAGTCACTTTATATAGACATTGAAAAAAAGACTGGGTTTCTAAAAGTGGTGAAATCCCAGGTGTCATCACGCCACTATCTCACAAGGTGTCACAAGTAGGCGAATACATGTTGCAGGAAAGGGACAAAAATATAGATTCGGCGTTGCCTAATTCTGCAGCAGAAAAACCTTGGACGCATGCTGAGCAAGATAAAAACTTGTTGCAATTCTGCGCAGTTGTTCAATCTGTTATCTTTGGTATGTTTGTGCACACGTTTAGCTCATTCAAAATGTATTTATTTATCTTCACTGCGCACAAATAGTCTACTGTTCCTGTGCAGATTATCTGTTCTTCTCTCATGTGGTTGACAATGCACATTCCTTGTATTGTTGAAACCTTTTTTCTTTAAAAAAAAAAAGAATCAGTTCTGATTCTGATTGTTCATTATAAGTGTACTGTACTCCGACATCATGCAATGCTTTCATAACCAAAGATCAATTCAAAGATGTAATGTTTTGCAACAAAACAGGAAAAAAACAACTTTAAATAATTGTTTTGGTTTTAGTTGAATTGAAGTTGCTGACCTCCTCTTTTTTTAGGAGGTTCTGAAGGTGATGCGCAACATAGATGACCGCATTGTCCATGCCCTCAACACCACAGTGCCCACGGTCTCCTTCTCAGGCAAAGTGGATGCCACACAAACGTGCAAAGAACTCTATGAATCTGTGAGTGGATAAAGTATGCGTCAGTTAGCCCTTTTCATATCATAATGAACCAGCTCCAGTAATAATGTTGTGCATTTCCACAGATGATGGACGCCCACCTGACCAGAGACAAAGCCATCAAGTCCTGTATAGCGCAATCTTCAGAGGAGGTGGCACAACTGCGTAAACAAAGAGCAAAAGACAGCGAAAACCTGGCTCTCATCAAACTGCTCAGAAAGGAGCAGACCAAAGTAGGTCCAGTTTCTAACACTAGAGGGCTTTAAACCACTAAGCTGGAGGAGTCACTGAAATACACTTCTCATTGGGAGCGATTTAGTCACTGTTCAACCAAACACAAACCCACCCACTAAACACAAACTCACTTAAAATATATATTTTTTTTATTAATTAGTCTTTCAATTTACAGAAAACATGTTCCAATCATTCAGGATTTTATGACGCATGAATGATGTCTGATGTAAACATTCGTTTGCGCGAATACAGACACATGGAAACATTGAATGGCACCATTGGAAATGTTTGAACCAACCAGTCTGAATATTTTCACTTCTGCTGCTTTCATTCTTTTTGCCCCTTTTAAATATAATAAAGATACTGAATCCGTGGTCATTTTCCATGAAGTGAGCACCACAAACCAACTATAAAATCCCCCCCGTTATGCTGGTGTTGAATTCACGACAGAAATTTGACCCTTATCCTGTAGATGCAGCTCTCTTCCTGGCTAAATATTTGTCAATGAGAAAAGGTGTTTTTGTTTTTACAACTATTAAATGTTTGAAAATATGACTTAGGTTATGCATTTTTCCTCTCTTGTTTCCAGTTAAAGCTCATGCAGTCAGAGCTGAATGTTGAGGAAGTTGTCAATGATAGAAGTCTGAAGGTATGCGCACTACTAACAGCAAAGTCCTGCAATCACACCAAAATACCATCACACTTCTGCAGGTTATTCACCCCTGATTTGCCGTGTTTAGCTTTTCAGCGAAAGGTGCCGAATCCACTACACGCCTCCGAAGGTGAAGTGAAGCAGCGTCTGATCAGAGCAGCTGCTTTCCTCGGGGTTTGAATCCAGACTGGATGTGAAACTATGACCTGCTGCCACATCTCGACTGCAGACCATTCAGACCGATCCGACTTCTCCTACAACACCCTTGTATTCCATTGTGACTTCTGTATTGGATCACCACAGCTGTACCGCAGTCATTGGTTTGCTTCTTTACTGGGAAACATTGTACAAAAAGAGTGTTTTTGTTTTTTTTAATAAGAAAATGAAATGTTTCCAAGCGGCGTGTTGTCTGCTTTTGAATGCCATTTTCGTGTGATACCTGCAATTAAGTGGTACGGTTTAATCTTCCTACGCTGCTCTGCGAATTTAAATATTTTACATTTGAAACAAATGTCAGTTGATCTGTGTACAGACATTCATGGGTCCCGGAAAATTCATCTTAATGAATGTGAGCATGTTAACGTTCCGTGCGAATCACCGCCGTGCCGCAGAACAACGTCACAAAGCTGTAGACGAGTGATGTTGTTAATCTTCATTCCTTGACTCAGCAAACTTGTTAGACCGGTGATTAGTACGTTTACTCATGTTTTTAATCTTAAGAATGTTCACCTGTCACCTAATGCATGGTAGGACACAACCATCATGTGATTCGGGAAGAAAGAACAAACATATTGCTTGAGCTATTTCAATAAGTTTACGAACTGTAGATTTCAACAGCAAATAATGTGTGTTTTACACCTTTTATACCAGTATTTCTGCCTTGAATTCTAGCTTCTATTCAGACACCCGTTGTGTTCTTGTTCTTCTCCTTCTGTTAACTTGGCCCACAACGACAAAAAGTCCAGTGCTTTCGCTGCTTCAGTAGTAGGTGGAAATTCTGTTCCTATTTTTGGTTAAACAAATTCCATAAAAAGACCAAATCCGACAATAAATTGACCCCACCACTTTGATAGGGGAGGTGTAATCTATTCATTGGTTAGAAAATTAATTAATAATTTCATAGCTTGATGGAAAACATGTTAAAATGAGAGATTTAGCTTTCTGTCTTCTACTTTTACATGTATTTTTCACTATGGTTTTACATGACACACACCTCACGGACCGAGACGACACCGGTGGAATCCTCCTTCAGGCATTCAGAAACAGATGATAAACTGTGAAACTGTACTTAGGAATGAGGCACACAAATGTTACTTGTTTCTGACAACAATTGGTGCTGCTCCTGTATCATTTTGTATTTGACGAGTTCACTGTGGTTTAGAACAGATAGTTAAGATACAATGATCACAATCAGGTTCACGCCGGATGAGACGCACCGGCTCTGTCAAAATCTTTGAAGAAATGAATGTTTTTGGTAAATGTAAAAAGTGTTATTTAACCCTTAAGCCTCACTTCTGCTTTTCTAGGGACCAAAATGTCACAGAAAATGCTAGTAAGTCATGTTTTACTGTTTTTATAGTCATAGTAAACCCAGAGGCCTGGGTACACGGGCTCGGTGAAGGTGGTGTGAAAGGTGTGTCAGTGTGTTGGAGGAGACTTTGTAGAAGGACAGAGTGTCTGCAGACCAGTCCAGATACACACCGAGTGTGGAGCAGCAATCAGAGTGAGGAGGAGACTGCCACACACTTTCTTTCTTTCTATGTCTTTCCCATAAGCATAATCCTGGCCAAAAGCTCACCATAGGGGGACAACATCAAAATAATATATCTGAACCATTTCCCTTTCTTTCAATGATGGACTTTCTGACCCGTAAAATTTAGAATAAAATGTCTGAAAACTGCTGTTTATTTCTTGCGGGTTATTAATTATTGTCCCTTTCTCAGAGTCAATTTCTAGTATTGATCTTTCGTTCTGCATTGACGCCAGACCAGAAGTTTCCCTGCCCTTTCTCCTTGGTCGTAGTATGTCTATTTTAGTTTCATTACGCTATATTATGCTTTATTTGTGGATAAATCATTATCCAGAGCTCTTCAACAGGGGGTCCGCGGAGGTACTGCAGGAGGTCGCCAATTTTTTATTATTTAAAAAAAAAAAGTCAACCAATTTTCTTTCCACGAATTTAAATATCTTGAGAATCAGAATTGTATTTATTGTCTTTAAATACACATTAACATGAATCCAACATATTGTAGAAAAGGATAAATTGATGGAGGAGACGTTGTCTTTCAGTCCCACAGCAGCTCTCAAGCTGATACGACATCACAGGCACCAGCCAATCAGATCCATTCATGCTCGCGTCTAAAGAGGGCGGAGCTCAAAGATAAAAGATGGAGGACCAAACTCCGTAGATCGGGGGTCCCTGCTGCATCTCGCCATCAGTCTGGGGGACCTTGGCCTGAAAAATGTTGAAGACCCTGCAATGTACTGTGCTCTACGACCGGCCAATCTCTGTCTAGAGGCGTAACTTTTTCAGCGACTTTACGCCGCCAAGTGGTGGAAGGTTAAACAAAACAAAATAATAACAAAGTGGCTCTTGCACACTTTGTATCAAACTTTTTTTTTCATATGTTTATATTCATTAGGTTCAAAATGACCAGTGAGCAATTGCCGAATGTCTGAATATTACAAATTGACAGCAAAGAACACGAGGTAAGGTGCTGAGTTACTAACTGACAGCTAACTACTACAATACAGTGACTACACAGTGAAAAAGACCTGTGTGTAGTGAAAAGAGGTAGTAATGTATAGAGAGAATTATTTTTACAGCAAACACAACAGTGTGTGTTGACCTACATGTATAGTAATTAGTGCATTGTTTCCTACATGATCCCTGTTGTCTAAATAGGTTTTCCACTCAAATGAAAGAGACAATATAATATGTATCTGACCCACTAAACCTGAGACTGGATTTAAGCAAATGACAGTAACAGTTTCCTAATCAGATTAGATTTGACAATGACACTTCATACAAAAAGGTGATACAATGTTACTTTTGCTGATGGTTTAAGGATGTTATCAAAGGATTTGGTAAAAATCAGTTTATCAAGGATTATCAAGGAGATGAAGCAGAGGTCAGAACAGCTCTGACCTCGTGTATTGTTCATCTCCAGCAGTTTTGGGACATATTTGTCTATCAAGTAGAAGGAGACAGATGGAGATGAGCAGAAACCAAACGCATGAACTCAGCACTCACCTGAGGAGTAAAACAAATTATTATTCAGTAGTTTCCAAACATTAAACACAGATACAGGTCTAAAATACATACATTCATATCAACACGGAGCCTTGTGATAGATCATTATAGTCCAGAGCAGCAAAGAGCTACATTATGACATGAAGCTCCATCACTGTATCGATATCGTCCCTTAAGACCAAGGAAAGAAGGGTCAGTGATTGGTTAGTGGGATGAAAGTTAAATATGTAAGCCGATGAGTTTAAAAGTGGCGTGTTGTCTGTTATTTTATTTAATTTGTGTGTCACTGCAATGAAGTTGTACAGTTTAATCTTTTCCGTTTCATGTTTTTCTGTGAGTGAAATAATTAAATGTCAGCTGAATTGGCAGCTTATTCTGTTCAGACATTGGTGGTTCCCAGATAATTCATCTAAAAGAACGTGAGCATGTTAACATTGCGTGTGAATCACAGAGCCTCACAGAGCTGCAGACAAGTAATGTGGTTCATCTTCATTCTTTGATTTGAGACACTTGCCAGACCAGTAACTGGTGTCAATGTGTTTCCTCATTTAATCTCAAGGCAAAGCAAACCAGGAGTACCAAGATTCCAAAATCCACGAATGGTCAATTAAAAAAGAGACAAAAAAGAAGAAAATAAACGTATTTAATCTGGATTTGAAGAAGCTGAGAGACTCAGCAGACTTTTGTTCTCAGAAGAATGTTCACCCGTCACGTAAAACACGGTAGGTCACTGTTTCCTGGTTTGTGTGATCAGCACACGCAATATGACAATGCAAAAAAATATATGTCTTATATTTTGTTTTAACTTTAGTGCATGAAAACTAAGGAAATGTATTTACATTCTCAAAGATTTCACTTGAAAAATTCAAATATTTCATGTAAGAATCAGTTTTTTAGTGCTGTCTTTATTTCTTTTAAATGAAGTTCAGTGTACTTTCTGCTTCCCAAACCAATACATCTTTATGTGTCAACACATTCAAAGTCAAGCATTTTAATATGAGACATATGAGATATGCAGCCTGTTAGTATTTTACTGTGGAAACAGGTTGTTTGATCACTTTGTAAAAGGAACAAATGGGCCTTTTACTCAAGTGATTGTGGTGAAGAAACTAAATATATTCATTGAGCCATTTATAAGTGCACTACATGTAGATTTCTTTAGCGTTAAAAAAGTTACATCAAATCTTGAGTACTTGACTTAATTTCTTAAATATTGGGTATAAATTCATGTCACCCACAATGTGAGATGTGAGTATGTTTCTTTTATTAATTGATGAGAGAGGTTAAAAATAGAATAGTCGTGTTAAGTTTTGTGTTAACTAAGGATATTTATTTTACATTTTAAATTAATTTACCATTTGTTAATCAGACTGCATAATTTAAAAGCAGATGTTGCATAACATATTGAGAATGAAAAAGCAATACTAATCTAAATAGATGTCCCTTTGAACACATATATATTTTAATACCAAGTGTGTTTGATATTTACCTAAAGCACTATTAGAAGTCCAATATATTACTCCTCCCGTTTAAGGCAAATGTCAACACCCCACAAAAAATAGTCTTAATTGTAATTTTGAAGGGATTTGAATTGTGATCCAGGTACATCAGAGCATTAATTTAAGTTTGAACCTCTTGAAGTCATTTTCCCCTAAATATGAACCAATACTTAACATGAGCATGTTTAACCCGTGTTCAGATTGTACTAAATGAGAAACCAATATACAAATGTTACTGATGATATCATTCAGTGACTGAATACCATTGCAGCAAAAAGATATCATTTACATATATTGTGCAGCATAATATACACATTTTCCCAAATGCAGTCAGCTTGAAGTTGTACTTCAAACACAAAGCAGGCTGCCTCTCACGATGCACATCAATTAGCAAGCAGAAACCTATTTGTAAACAGACTTCCATTTCTCATATCTTTGTCCGGCTGAAGACGTACAAGCCTGCAGCTGTTTTACAAATCAAATACCACCAAAAAGAAAAGAAACACATATCACAAAAAAGAAAATTAGATTCATTTATTTAGGTGTTGTACAAAATAGTTCCATATTTAAAATGCTCTTTGCATCATGATCTACGGTTGTAACATGTTAGCGGAGGACAAACATTGTTTTCTATGTTTAGCTGTAATAATTTGATCATAACTGATTAGAACAGGAAGGCAACACGTAGACACTGGTGCCGTGTTTGGTTCGTGATCCTATTGGAAGTACTCAATGGGGTCCTCGTGCCTCTTGGATTGCTCCATTTTAGTCAACTCTAACTCTCCTCCATAACATGGAAGTTTTTTCCAAACACGGAGGTGAACGTGATCATCTCCTCCCACGTGGACCTGCAAAGACGTAAAACAAGGAGTTGATTATTTCAACCAAAGTGAGGTCACTTCATGTCCACTTTATTTATACAAGGCTCTTTTGCAATGTACATCATAATTAGTTATATTGAACAACCTCTATAAGAATGTCCGTTCCAAGTTATCTTTCACAAGACATGATTTCAGCAATAACTGAACGATGACTCGACAAAATGTTTAATTGATTTTGGCTTATCTCAGTCAACTTGTTAGCATATAACCATAGTCCACTTCCCAGCATGCATTACATGCATGTTGTATTTAATCATGCATTGAAGTTAAAGTTTTCCAGCATGGCAGGTGGCATGTTCCAATTTTAGAACGGCATGAACCGATCATGTCATGGACCCTTCTCCCTCCTCCATATGCAAGTGTGTGTGTGTGTGTGTGTGTGTGTGTGTGTGTGTGTGTGTGTGTGTGTGTGTGTGAACTATGACTCATTCAATTAATACGTCTGTGGAAAATCGGTTCTCAGTTTCTCTGCAATACTGCTCTCTAGGACAATGGATGACATTCTGGTATTATGTGATCCATGTGAGAAACACCACCGGCCGAGGCCGTGCTTCTTGAGTACCTTGATGAAGTAGTTGGTCCCAGCCACCATCTGAGACTTGTAGCTCTTGGCTGTGAACACATCGTAGGTTTTCCCTGCTTCCTTCTCTGCGTGGGGCTTCACCTACACGCCGATGAGATGACAGCATCGTGCAAATGAAACACAGGCTCCGTTCACCGAGTGGGAATAGTCCAGAAACAGGAGGGATACGTTGGGGTTTTTACTCACGCTTTCACAGATCTTCTGGATTTCTTCGTTGGCTTCAGATATCGCGCCGAGTCCCCCGCACATCGCCGACATGGTGACGGATGTAGTGGCAAGAGTTAGAGAAAAGACGAAAGTAAACCCTGACGTTTGGGGTGTTTCTGCGGATCCCTGTGTTTGTGTCCGGGAAGTGCTCCAGATGAATCACTAAATCACATGACTGTATCATGGGCCATACCATCAGCGCAGGGGTGAGGGGGGGGGTGCCTTTAAACGATGTTACAAACTAACTAAAATAGAAAATAAGATCTCTATATTGGTTAAATGTACTGCATTCAATCGCACGTGTTCTAATTAGTATAAAAAAGCAGCTTCCAAAAAAATGTACTTTAAAATATCTCTTTATTTAATTTCCCCCTCCGTTTTTTGGGACAGAATTTGGTTTAGTCCAAGGCGCGGTTTGTGTTTTTGCCTACTGTGCACTATAAATCCTTACTACTGGGGTTTTGCGAATACCGACTGTCTACACAAAAAAAGTCAATGATGGAATGATGAGTCTTCTACTAACTAAACTTTTCCATTAACTTTTCTTCCTTTTTATGTATCTCCTCTTTTAACATTCATCTGTGCAGCAGATGACACAGCTCACTATAACAAATGGAAAATTAAACTGCATTATAACCCCCCCACTTGTTTAAACTCAAGTTGTGACATGACTTTAGTCAGAATATGTAGCGACCTCAACTTCACTGAACAGGTTTTGTGAGAGCAGATGATTCATGTTCATTGTCTTTGGAAGATTTACAGTTCCTCTTTTGAAACAACTACTTTATCGTCATTTTTTTCTCTGCACTTCATTTTCTTCTGTTTTGGAAATCAAACAAGTAATTAGATTTACTAAACTAAAATGTAACTTCATTAAAAGTACAAATGTATAATCAGCAAATTATCTTTACGTAATTATAATGAAGATATTCATCCATACTGTAAATGTGTTCTAAGTCGCTGATGGTGAATGACCCAATGATGAAAGTATTAGTAATAGTTTGTAATACTGCAGTATGCTGTCATGCTGTTTTACAGTTCACACAAATGGAACTAGGCATACAACTCTTTAAAACATCCTGCTCACATATAAAAAACAAACAAACAGATTACTTAACTGTAATGCAAGTACCAAAGAAAAAAGAGAGAGACTGATGCACAAAGAGGCAAATGTGAAACCCTACATGTTATAGACAAAAGGGACAAAAAATGACCTGGGTAAAATATAATAAATTGGATTTTCAGCCACTTTTATATGATTCTATTTCATATTTGGTGCTGACTCGCTTCCTGCTAAATAATCCCCCCAATATGGAATCTATGGATTCAGAATATGTGAGGATTAAAAATCTTGAAGTTAAATCTCTCTGTCAATTTTCCTTGTGCACGGATTCCAAGGCTTTTATAGCGGACAAATGCCGACTCATTTGTCAGCTTTTTCTGTGGGGGATCTGTTGGAAAGGCATCTGGGAACGTGCAATATGGTTGAATTAATTATCTATGAACAAAAGGATTAAAAGAAATGACAATAATTTCCTGTCAATCTGCTGCTCCGCGCGGCAGTGCAGTAGGCGGCGGTAATGCGCCTCTGAACCGGTTCACCAGCCGTCATTAATCACCAACGAAGAAGAAGAAGATGAATAAGACGAAGAAGAAGAAGACGAACACGGAGGACGAGAAGAAGGACGTCTGTAGGAAACAATGCGGTCGTCGCTCACGACTCCGCCGCGCACCTGTCTGCCCGTCGCACCTGTCCTCGCCATGTTGTCCTTCGTTCTGTCGCGAGGCTTCTGCCTGACTGCGGCCGAAGTCGGCGGCACAATTTACCCGACCTTCGGTTCACTTTCACGGGCTTTTACAACCTCAACTCCCAAATGTGGCAAATCATCCGAAACCGGTAAAATTAATTTCCTGCAAACACCTTCTAACACTTTGACTGTGTGCAACACGGGTCACCTCAATGGCCCTTCAATGTCCCTCTTGATATCCCTGTAATGTCCCAGTTGGCCTACCACGCCCGTGTCTCTTTATCTCCGGGGTTGGAATTTGAAGCATCTCTATTGTAATGGTGGCGTGACGCTTTAAACTGGTATTTCCGTCCTTAATGCTGCTCACAATGTAGTGGATCCTGTTTGTGCCACCAGCGTTGTCCCACTGGGTGGACTTTGTGTGTCTGGTGGTTTCCATGGCATTGTGTGAGGCTGAGCGTTTGTTTGACTGCTGTTTGATGGAGTGTCAGTAGAGAAAATGACCAGCTTATCCCGTCAGAATCAAGCAGGTCAACACGAGTTAGACTACTGATAAAACATGGATGGTAAGTTCAAAGGTCAACTGAGTCAATACACAAAAGTTTTTTTTTTTTAGTTTTTTTTTTTTTACTTCCTCTTATCGTTTCGTCTTCTATGTTATCCCCCCCTCTTAGGTTCGGTGGTGACCCACTCCCAGCTGAAGACCATGCTGTCCAGCGGAGACATCCAGCTGTTTGATGTGAGACAGCCCGATGAATACCTGGCCGGACGCATTCCAGGCGCCGTCAACATCCCACGTAGGTAGAAACACTGTCAAGGTGGATCATAAAAAGTGCTTTTCTATGTGTTGACACCGTCCTGTTTGTGTTTGGACATCAGTGGGGACCCTGGAGGAGTCTCTGAAGCTGTCCCCTGAACACTTTCAGCAGACATTTCAAGTGAAGGCTCCTGGGAAAGACGACGACAACATCGTGTTTCATTGTAAAACTGGCGGCAGGAGCTCCAGAGCGCTGGATGTCGCCCTAAAGCTGGGATTCCACAGGTAGATCACGGCAGATTCCTCTGGATACACACGTGAGACATGCAGCGCTCCAATCTCCACATGACCTACTGAAGGTCAAAGGTAGCAAATGGGTTAAAAGGACTCCCCTGTTAGTGTCTTTGATTTTCACTCCTGTTAGACGATGTGGATGTGCTGTGTGCCCCACTACTGTATAAATGGCCTCTTTTTGTGTTATTTGCGTAAAACGACCATGAATGGAGACTAAGCTCTTCTCTTTATGCTGCTTTCTTCTTTCCGTAGGGCGAGACATTACAAAGGAGGATACACTGAGTGGGCAGCGCAAGAAGGAAACTGAACCAGAGCCCAACTCTCAAAATGCAGCCAATGCAGAACTCCAGGGTTTAAATGAGAATTACCTCTCACTGCCTGTTACTATTGAAGTTACATATTTTATTTATGTTAGCTGTTACTTTATGGGTGAATACTACTTTTGAGCTTCAACTTGTTACATTTTTAACGCCTGATTCAACGCTTTCTTTTTGGTTTTGAATCATGTTTTCTAAACGTTTTATTCTGGAATTCAGTTTCTTTGTGTTTATTAAATCTTTCAAATGTCAACATGTCTTTGAGAATATACACAAATGTATACATTCATTAATTGACGAGCTTTATTCTTTGCTGTGAGGTCAATCCCTCCGCCTTATGTGAATATTGCTTACTTAAATTTACACAACAAAATGGTTTAATAAATTTGACAAACAAGTTATGGAAATGTTGTGAAATTAACTTTTTTTTTTTTTTTTTATAAAAAAGTTGCTCAAAACTGTAAGACAATACATTTGCATGAAATGAGATTAAAATGTAAAAAGCAACGTGCATGTAGAACGCGTAAAAATACCTCCAAACAGCTGACGTGTGTGTTATTTGCTCCCTCTATGACCTAAACATAAAGCGAAATATGTCTGCACATAGTGTTTTATCTTTATCCAGTCCGAGTGGACATTCTCACACATGGAGACTCAACCTGCAGTAACGGCTGCAGTTTGAATGAGGGATAAAAGCACTTCCATCCCTCGACCAGTAGATGGCAGCAACATTACAACCACCTCCTCCCTTTAGGATTGCAGTAGCTTTGCCTTCTCAGGGCTGACCTTCACACAGGTATGGGTCCAAACAGGTGTGGACCCTATGAGCGGCTGTCAGGGGCCCCAGGGGCACAAGACCCCATTTAGAGGAAAGCAGATCCCACTTCATCTCTTACACATTAGCTGCCATTCATGTGGGAGGAAGACTGATTTCCTAAATACTGTATGATGTGCACATAGAGAAAGGAAATCTGTGGACATGTACTCAATGGTCTAAGTTCACTCGTGGATTTCACACACATTTTGACATGTTTCAAACGTGTGGATGTATGCGGTGGGTATTACGATTCCCAGCGTGCTGACGTAGAAGAAGAATGGCTCCAATTTCCAAGGACATTTGGACACTTTAGCTTCGTTAAAACCCAAAGTGAGTCCTCATTTGGGGGCTGTTTGTCAGCTGTCGGAGTTACGTCAGCTCATTAACCGCCTCCTACTTTTTATAGAAAGCATTAACAAAGTCTGCAGTGGCTGCTGTCATTTGTTAAATACAGAAACATCTGGGAACACAAGTTGTTGGTTGTTTATTTTCACAGATGCGTGTATCATATGCAACCCGAGTGCCACAGAAAAGTCTGTTGAACATGTTCGGGGTTTTCCAACAACCTCATTGCCTGTGGAACTGGTTCTTAGAGGAAAACAACACGTTCTCCTGATGCACTTTACATTGGTTTGGTTCATTTCTCCTTAATGTGGCGTGCAATGCTGCAGGGCTCACTCAAAATACCATGCAACACGTTGTTTTCTTTCAAATGCACAATCGCTGCAATTGTGAGACACAAAACTTTGAAGGATTTTTTCTTTTTTTTAACCTTCAACTCGGGTGTTTCTTTCTTGTTAGGGGGCAGAGACAGAGCCCGAAGTGTCAGTCGATACATTTATTTTTGCAGCTCTAAAACGAGGCTGACCCAATTTTCGCCCAGGATTTATGAAGTTAACGTTCGGCTATTTTTGTGTGAATTTCACTTCCAGCCAAACACGACCCAGACTGCGGCTTCAGGGTCATTCTGAGGCGCAAAGGTCAACGGGACTGGAGCGCCGTTCAAGCTCATTTGTTGACTAGTTTTGACCTCACGTGTTTGCAGGGATTGTAACAACCGGTCACCTTCCTTTGCCACCGCATCACTGGACGCACGGATGGGGGACACCTGACGTCTGCGCCACGTGTGCGTGCGCGTGCGCGTGCTAGAGAGAGTGCACGCCGGTCACTCTCAGCGTCGTGGGGAACGTGGTGAGCGCGAGCGCCTCTTATTCTTGGAGCTGCCCACGCTCGCATCCTCCCGTGCGCAATGACACCGTGCGCCCCTTTCACCCCCCCCCCCCCCCCCCTCATCATTTCCCCGCGTCGCAGTGGTGTGCGCGAAGACCGGAAAACTTTTAAACCGGCACGAGGGATGAGTTTTCCTCCACGGCCTCTGAAGAATTCTTCACTGGGACACAGAAACAGGGATTTAAGTCTGTTTACGCGATCCGCTTGTTGGAATAACACAAGAATAACATTCGACACCTCTTTTTAGTTTTTTTTTCCTTTCTGCTTTACGGCCCTACATTTTCATTGTTATCCTACTCCCATCTATAAAAGGATGAACGTATCTGATCTGCTGCACATGTTTGATCATTGTCTGCGTGCTCTGATAGGTGAGCATATGGCGATCTCATTTTTGCTACTATGTATTTGACCCCAATAAGCCGATAAGATGCTCTGTCACTTAATTCATTTAATTTTTAGAGTAAAGGTTAATCAAGCTTCCATGGCATCCTGTTTGAATTTGGAAGGACATGTTGTTGTCTTAATTGATCTGATATTAGTTGAATGTGAATATTGCTCTGATGTAAGTTGTGTTTAGATCTTTTGGTTAATGGAGCTAAATATAATTTTAATCTTAAAAAAACTCCCTCCATTACAGCCTTCCGAGTGCTTCCGAACAGACTGCAGTGTGTATGTGAGCAAGTGCATTAAGGGTCCAATGACGACCAAACTACACGCACACAAACACACAAACACGCACAGTGACTTGATTAATAAGAGAAACAAGCACGTGAAGAGGGAAATCTGTTTCAATTACTTAATGCCAATTTATAATGAACTCATTCGGATTATGCAGCCTTGTATCATTTAACCCCCCTAAGATTCATATATATATATATATATATATATATATATATTTATGTTTGTGTGTATAGATGTTTTGGTTGCATTCCTCCTGCAAAGCCTGATTGTGTGATAAACCACACCAAGGTGATTGTGCATCTTTAGATTCCCGTGTGGGCAATCATTTGATACTGCAGCCATTGAGGCACTGAGTGGAATTAAAGGCCTGGAGAAAATCCATAAAAGCGTCATGGGTTTGAGCCAGGTCCCAAAAAGGATCCGAGTGTCTCCGCGTTTGTCTCCCTCTTTTTTTTTTGTCACAGAAAGAGAGAGGAGGGGAGCGAGCTGCGTAAGATGGATCAGCTTGGTTAACATGTGGACACAGGTGTGAGCGCGGGCACGGCGCCGTTATCTGGATTCGGCACAGATGGGAAGGATTGGGAATAAATGAGAGGGAGGACGGAGTGTGGGGAGCAGAGCCCGGGACCGGGACTTATTACCCATCGCTGATGAGCTAACCTCACTAGACGGCGCTCAGAGGCACACTGCCAGCGCCTCGTTAAAGTTACCATCTCTGCTTTGGCCTCGCCGTTAGCTGCATTGAAAGCCCTTTACAGGAAGGAAGGGAACACAGGCCGACGGGAACAATCATAAATGCCTTGTGGATGAAGTTTGCTGCTAAGAGCTTTGTGGAGTTGATTGTCTGAGCCATGGAGTTGAGGAGGCATCAATATGTGCCTCCCATTTCTCATTCAGGGAACATTACTGCCGGGGCTCTTTTCAACTGTTTAATTCATCAGCTCATCTGACTTACTCAAAGCCAAGAGACGTGTTCCCAGCAGGCCTCCCACCTGAAAGGATGCAGCCTCCATCCCCTGACGGCAAATATGCTACACTTTAATCTGATGAGATGTGAGAAATGTTCCAGCATGTGTATGAATGGTTGAAACCCAAACTGTGCTCTTCCCCTCCGGCAGGTCTGTCAAACATCTCACCCCCCATGTCACCGGGACGTCTCCATGGCGACGTTTAGCAGCGGCGGCGAGCGGGCCTGGAACGAGTCGGATCGCCTCGGGTGGGACTGGGAGAGGAACGGCAGCTCGGAGGCGTCGGAGCCGGACGAGCGCAACTACTACGCCATGCTGTACTCGCTGCTCATCGTGGCCATCGTGTTTGGAAACGTGCTGGTGTGCCTGGCCGTGATGAGGGAGCGTTCCCTCCAGACGACCACCAACTACCTGGTGGTCAGCCTGGCCGTGGCCGACCTGCTGGTGGCCTCGCTGGTCATGCCCTGGGCCGTGTACCTGGAGGTGAGGAGGTCAGGGTGTCCGTCGGTCCCACATCACGTGTGCCCTCAGGTCATTTCAGTTCAATTCTAAATAGATGTTGAATAACACTTATTGTAAGTCTTTGGATAAAAAGCGTCAGCTAACTGACATGTAATGTGATGTAACGCCTCAACGGTCGATATCTGTTTTCTCCTAGTTGAGCTGATCAGAAACAATTTATTTATCTTTTGGATGGTTAATAAAATAAAACGCTTATCCATGAGGTACTTATACCAAATTAGTTTGACTTCCATCCTTGCAGTTTGTAATTTGGATATTTATTATTTTTTTAATTGCGCTTTGCGGGATTGTACAACATTTGTGGCAAACACAATTACGTTTTAGAATGTGCCATCCAAAACCAGCACACAAGTCTCTTCATAAAGGATAAATGTAGACACGCTGTCAAATAATTGTCATCAAAACCTCTCAGTTAAATTGGCGTTTGCGTTTTAATGTTATTTTTTATTTGACTTTCACAGATTACCTATTAGCGATGTCTCTCAGACACCCACATTTCATCAAAGCAGTACTGAAAATGCACTGCCTTTGTCTCCTGCTTGTGTTCGGTGTGTGTGCGTGTCTGAGGCTCAACATGAGGTAGAAAAATCATCCAGTTGAAGTCCAGTTACGTTTAACGAGCCGCCTCCCTGCTGCCCAAAGTTTGCTCGCCGTCAGCAGAAAGCACCATTCCTCACAGCGTGCAGAAGATTCAACGGCAGGTCAACCATAAAAAAAACCAAACACACTCAGCGGGAAGAAGCTGATATATTAAACAGGATTATATGAAAAGGTCGTCTTAGGTCGCCAGGAGCCGTGGTACATTCAGTCATGAGTTGAACTTCCTCGCAGGCAGTCACGCTGTTCGAGCATGTGCTGCATTTCAGATTCAAAGGGGGGACAATTCCTTAAGGAATGAGTCATCGAAAGATACTATGACAAAGGCACAATATTCATTCATTTAGCAGAGACGTAAAGGTCAGCGATATCTTGGAAAAGACTCTGTGAAAAAGGGCCAGAGTCCAGAGTCGTGTAGGCAAAAGACTTCCAACTGCGTGGGTGAGCACTGCGAGCAGCGTCTCCCCGCCAGCTCCAATCACGAGGATGAAGGGTTGGCCTGTTGTGGCCTGGCTGGCTTCTGCAGGTGTGTCTCTGCAGGAAACGCGAGGGAATATCTCTCCCCTGACGCCTCGGCGGGTACCAGTCACGTGCCCTTGAGCGAGCCATCGCATCCCAGGAGTTCGATGTGCGGCTTGTACCTGAGAGAAGTGTTTGTATTGGCAGCAGCGGCCGAGCGCTCACTTTGCACAGTTCATCCTGCACGCCGACTACGGGAGCAGCTCCGTCTGCGGCGCGCCGCTTACTCCCCTCGTTCAGGTTTATTGGAGAGGGTTTTATCAAACCCTCTACAGAGTCTGTATTTGACAGAAAGGATTTAGTGGTTTTGCGCTCCTGCGTGCACTTTTTATCGATTTGGTTCCTCCGACTTTGGTCAAGAAAAGGCTTCATCATAGGCACCGGTTTCACCAAAATGTTCAAAAGAGTAGCTTACTGTGATTTACAATTTTCTTTCTTTCTTTTCTTCTGATTTTATACTTTTACTGAGACATTTATCAGGCTTGAGTGTTGTGAAAGTATAGATCACATACAGTAATTTCAAGCCCAATCGATACAAAGTGTCTGGGAGCCCCACTGTTCAATATGTGCCCAGAGGGTGATTAAGTAAAAATAAGCACTTTGCACCTTCAATTTATTTCAGTTTTTGCAGCTGTGAATAGCTCCTTTATTTCCTTTGTGCGATGCAGTAATGGTAAAAAAAAAAGGTGTTGATCCATAGGATTTCATTAAGTATACATGTTTTTGTACCTTCTCCTAAAAAATAACTTTCGCTGCACTTCCTTCACTTCAAGTAGCGTATTTGGTGAAACTCTCCCTGTCTGATAAACAGTCACATCCTTTGAACTCAATGTCCTCTGCAGCTTGTTTTCGCAAACTCAGTGGTACTAACAATGTCAAGTAAACTGATTTGTATGTGTACAATTAAGTGCAAAGTTCCTTTTTAGATATTGAATTAAAATCACCATACATGGCTATGTGTTTAGTTTAACTTGGAAATTCGTGCTAACATTGGGCCTGTTAAGTCTGGGAATGAATGTTAGCGGTGAATGTTTCCACCCTGCTGTGTTTGTCTCTGTGTATGTGTGACAACCGTGGTCTCCGGGGGAGAAATGGCTGTCTATTTACATCTCGTTGAATGTCCATGTGTGTGTATGTTCCTGTACTGGGGCCCATGTGTGCCTGCCATCTCTCTCTGTAGGTGGGCGTATATTCTCTGGCTCAGCACTCAGGCAATGCTGCTTGAAACCATTTATCTTTGTCGGACAGTTATTACCAGGCGTCATGGCGCCTCGGTGAAAGCCGGTCGGTCTCACTCTGCTCAGAGGAGAAGAGACGGGGGAGGAGGGAGGGAGGGGTGGGGGAGGGGGTGGGGGGTCTTGTTTTGGGGTCTTATCGGTACATAATTCGGGGTCAATGTCCTTTGGGGATTGAAAATCCCCTTGAGGATCTTTGAACGTTATCCATCACTGCGCATCATCACAGAACATTGTCACATTCGCCCCTTTGCATCATGTACTATGTGAGAGCAACAGATGTAAACATATTTAACTGATGCATAAATTAGCCTAATTAATATCCACATTAGCATAAACGCGCAAGTCGAACATATCAAGGTGAACACGGTAGTATATTCGGGCCTCTCGTTATTCTCAACCCTTTTCATCGTAGGCTAAACTCTCTTTGTGTGTGCATGTCACCCTCCTCTTCCTCGCCCCTCCTGTCACATGTGCGAGGGCGTGCGGTCGATCGGAGCGTCACACTTCGCGGTGGAGAAGGGAAGGAGAAACGCGTGCGTTGATAATCTGCCCCTCTGTCCTGTGCAGGTGGTCGGCGGTGCCTGGCTTTTCAGTCGGCTCTACTGTAACGTCTTTGTCACGCTAGACGTGATGATGTGCACCGCCAGTATCCTCAACCTGTGTGCTATCAGCATTGACAGGTGAGTGTGCAGTGTGTGTGTGTGTGTGTGTGTGTGTGTGTCTTGTTCCACTTCTAGTGCATGACACAGAAATTTGCCGTGACACTTCCAGTGTAAATGTCAATTTAACATATTTGCAGGTTCTTTTCTCAACCTCACCTGATACTTAAGAAAAGAACCCTTGCAGAGAGAATATACTAACCCACTCTTGCTCATGTCCTCTTGATAAATGTGAGTCGGTGTGTGTTTGTCCGTGTGTGACAGACGGTTAAGAGACAGAAATGAGGACATTATGTTTTTTAACTTAATGTTCATCTTCAGGTTCATATGCATTTGTTTGCATTAGTGGAGGGGGAACTGCATCCGTTTGGACCTTAACAGTAAAAATACATTTATGTATTTTAATTATTTATTTGCTTACTTTTCTTCTGGTGTCACAGTTAATATTTAATGACGTTCCACGGGCGTTGAACTTACAACCCGACGGCATCGAGAGTTCAACCTCAGAATAAAATAGGAACCACATACGGACTCGAGCTTAATCCAGGATGTGTTCACACATTTAATCTGATGAGCGCTTTCGTGAGATAATTGTGTATCTTGTGATAAGGGACGGTCACCATGCGCCTCTTACCTCTTTTCGCCCCTTGCCTTGTCTTGTGTCATCGTTATCAAATGATGTCGTGCAGAGTGTCGAAATCTAGGTTAACTTTACACCGGCGTCAGGCGTCGTTTAAAGTGATTGTCAACTCATTTCAACGAGACTGTTTTCTTTCACTCTCCTCATTCTCGCCGGTTTTGCTTTCAGCAGCAGGCGGCAGGTGTTTTTAGTGAAATGGCTGCAAAAACTAACTTTAAAGAAGCTGCTCAGTAACAAACAGCAAAGGGACAAACTGAGAGTCTATCTGGGTAACAAGTTGCAGCAGATTTTGTGGAGACCAAAAGAGAACTAAAAGACACGGCTCCATTTGGATGATTACTTGTTCTGATTCATGTGTAAACAGGGAACGTTTTGCTTACAAGTGAACCGTATCAACTTACTGTAAAAAGCGATGGTGAGTCGGCGCTGATACAACTTGTTTCTGCTGCCCCCAGTTGGCCAAAGGTTTAGAGGACAACACACAAACACACGCACACAACTCTGCAGCCAGGACGACCTCTCAATAGGAACTACATGGCCTGCAAGGAGCAGATGCTATCAGGCCATAGTCAGCTACAATAAAACACCATTACTAAATTGCACATGCTTGCATTCCTGCTGTTGTGTTTTGATAATAAAAAAAAATACACACTGTGTTTCTGAGGGAAGAAGTTTTTTGACGCCCGAGGATCTTTGTGATTGATTATGAGACAAGTTGACATCATCGCTACAGCGTGACGCGCTTGCCGAGGCGGCGAATTAAAGCGAAGCACCAGCGGCATTGGGTGTCATTGATAGTGTTCGACGCACCCGCATCACCTCTCGCGGCTGCGTTGATTATTCATGAGTTTATAGGCGACCTCTTTTGTGATGGAGCAAAGAGCAAAGAAGTTCTTGCGGCGGACTTCAAGGTGAAGTGTAGGTCAGGTTTTGAGTGGCGTCTCAGAACAGAAGAGCCTCGTTTTTATCTTCACATAAAAGTGAAACTTAAAGTAGCAATTGATCAATAAATCACAGATGTTTTTTACCTACTACATTTTTTTTTTATGTCCGTTCTTATTCAACCCGACAGCAGCATGATCTTTAACTCCTGGTGCTCCGGTGTTGCCTCTTCATTTTGCCCAGAGAAGTAACGATTAGTCTGATGAGATTAAACAATCGTGGTAGTTGTCTGCCACTAAACAACATTACATCCACTTGGGGTCCAGCGTAACTGCTGCCTCATCTGAGCATAGTGTACTTTTAGTCAAAGCTCCACTTGGTTTATTGCTGAATACCCACATAGTTTTTAAATGAAGATGCCTATTTTTATATTACAAGTCATTTAGCAGACGCTTTTATCCAAAGCGACTTACATTACACTTTAAACCCATGGCTTTTTCACATTTTGCCCAGGGAGCAATTAGGGGTTAGGTGTCTTGCTTAGGGACACTTCAACATGGAACAGTCTGGAATCAAACCAACAACCTTGTGCTTCCCAGCACACCTTCTCTAACCCCTGCGCCACGACGACCCAATATTTTGCTCCTCCTTTGTTGGTCTTTATATCACCTGCGTTCTCTCAGCGGTGCGTTTTTCAGAGAAAGTCCGGTTCTTTCCAAGGGCGCTCTTTTACTCACTCTAATTACTCCCTTTTGCTGTTCCGTATCAGCAATTTTCTCTTCATTAAAATGTCACCAGCTATTCTCTGTACGCACACATTTTCAAAGCAGACAGACCATAATGTGTGTGTGTGTGTGCAGGTACACTGCAGTGGTGATGCCCCTCTTTTACAGCACCACCCATCGCTCCAAGAAGAGAGTCTTTATGATGATTGCCACCGTGTGGGTCCTGGCCTTCACCGTCTCCTGCCCGCTGCTGTTCGGTTTCAACACCACAGGTCACATCGACGACTTCGCGACTCCGTCTTGCCCACGATTCATCGCAGCGAGCAATCAATTTCATGCAGGATCTGACACAGAGTTCAAGGCACTATGTTAATAGGAATTTCAGGGTCAAACTTCCGTGCGCTCGCTTTTTGGGGTCAATGGCGGGACGTGAAATGCTATCGAAAAATCGGATTTCTGAGATGCGTTCTCTCGATTTAGTCAGATTCAATTTACTCTGGGGCTGTTCATCTCAGCTTGTGAAAATGTCGCATATGGTTTTATGTGCCTCTGTCTTGAGCTCGGTCAAGCCTGAGAAAAAACCCGCTCGGGGTGAGACCTGAGACTTCAAAGACGGGGCCGTCCATGTCTTATCGCGCAGGCCGCTATCAGGAGAAGCTGAACCCAAATTAAAGCCACTGGAAATTTGGCTTAAAGTAAAAATGTGTGTATTGCAATTGAGTGTCTCATAAAGCATCCACTAAAAACTATCACAAATTCCAGTCTTGAAAGTCAAATTTGTCTGAGTCAAGCGTGTATAAATTATATTATTATTATAGCAGAAGCAAAAAGGAGATTTCTGTTTTTAGACAATTAAGATAACGGTTTATACCAGTCAAATTGAATTTAGGTTGTAAGTCCACCACAGTTGAGATATGAAGTATAGACGCCCGATCATCTTGAGCCTAGAGGCAAAGAGGGAGAGAGAGAGAGATATAAGACGCAGCCTATGCGGCTTGGATTTTGCCAATTTGTTCCCTAAATTTAATCATTTTTTGGGAGGGTCTTTGATAATAACTCAACGCACCCCCAGTGTCGACAACGTCATATCATGAAATTGGCAAATAGACCACAAAACGATAAAATGACCCAGAAATGCGAGACACCTTTAAAATGTGATTTACAGCAGCACAGCATACGTGACTCCACACAACCAACAGCGTTAGTCAGACACAGTGTAACAGTGACACGCACATTTGGATTAGTTCAATTACAATCAAGGCAAGATGGCAGGAATCTGAATGCCACCACGCATCAGCATTGAAAGGAGGGACCAGTGGGTTCACATGAGGTCAAAGGGTCCTCGCCCACCCTTCAAAGGAAAAGCATTGAACAAGAACATCTCATCTAGACAAAATCGATACGTTGCAAAACACAATGGAAAGGAACAAAAGGGAGTTTAGTGGCTAGAAAAAGCTCTTATCCATCTGGGCTCGTCTATGTGGAAATTGATCCAGGGAGGGTAAATCACTTAAGTTTGTTCATGCCACTAACATGCAACATGCATTTCACAGCTCTGCCCACAGATATAAATATAAATCCCTTCTGTGCGTTTCTGTGTTGTTTGGCGTTATGATTTGTTTGTTTCTGTGACTCAGATGACCCCATGGTGTGCTCCATCTCCAACCCCAACTTTGTGATCTACTCCTCTGTGGTGTCCTTCTACCTGCCGTTTATTGTCACTCTGCTGGTCTACATCCGCATCTACGTCTTCCTCAGGATGAGGCGAAAGAGGATCGTCTTCGGCCAGGCCAGCAGGAAGGTGCAGCCGGACTCAACTCCTCCGTCTGCGGTGAGACCATTACCCTATTTCCTCTGTCAGCGTTTATTCAGCGACTTATTTACTAACCATTAATGCGAGCCTGAGTTACATCTTAGACCTTTAGAAAGGCTTTCTTATTGGAAAGCGGCGTCTGAATTATTAAGAGATGTTCCATTAACCACCACTACATCACTTTTAAGATCCAATTATGTGAATTGGTTGTGATGTTCACAATAATACTTCCATCCGCTTCAGCTCCTAATAAGCTGATTTTTTTCCCAACCGAAGCCTTAAATTTGTCATGTAGATACTGTCCTTCATTCACGTTCATTTTCTTTATCATTAATAAAACCTCCCCCGAAGCCTCATTAGAATAAAATAAAATGCCTCGGTCGAAGAAACTCTGTGAAATGAAGTAATTTTCAGGTTAAAATGTTCCGAGTAAATGTAAATGTGGGCTAAGCGCCATTGGCCTCTCAGCTGAGCCGAGGTCAAAGATGAAATAAAAAAATGTTCGGTTCATGAGCAGCTGACTATCACCAGTTAAAACATCTTGTAAAGTAAAATGATATCAGTTAAATGGAAAAAAAGAAACATGGATGATGGATTGAAAGATTAACAGATAACCAGATTCTGTCAATGAAATATGAAGGAGTTTATTTTGAGAAGCAACTTTAACTTTTGTTCTCAACCAGCTGTGAGGTCTTTGATCACAACCATCACTCTAGAACTTGTCCCAGTTAAATATCATACAAATAATGGTTTCATCTCTTAACTTCGGGCTTGGAGACACCTGCTCGTGTGTTTGTGCATCTACTCTATTTTTAAAATCTGGTGTATAAAACAACATTATAATTACATCGTGTAACATGAATTTGCATATCCAGCAGATTCCTGTGTTGTGTGGTTCCACTCCATTTCCTCCATCTTTGCACACTAATTCACAGTCAAGTCGTCTATTGTAACAGCAGTTTACATATAATTGGTTGTGGTTAAGCCTCGGTTTGTGATCTCATCCATGAGTGAGATCCAAGCCCTGGAGGAGATCAAACTGAGAGAGTTATAATAGAAGTGTGTTTTGAAATACTCTGGCGTATTGATAAGGAAAAAAAAAGTGATTTATCTTTCTTTCTGCTGTGAGCTTTAATTGAGCCACAAAGCGACAAAACACAACAGACGTGAATCCTAATTTGTCCCTCGGAGACGCTCGCCCAGATTTCTTGGAGGTCTGATGAAAGAAATCCTCGGAGATGCAATAAATGAATCGATACCGAAGTGAATGGCAAAAGCCTTCTGCATGCAGATCGAATGCGGTGTTTGTATAAGACAACACGGTCACAGAGTATTTCTCTGAAAACTATTCTCATGCCCTATAGGAGACCTGTCTGCAAGAAGCGGCTCCCAAGGAAAAGCAAGACTTGTCACCTATAAGGATCGAAGTGGTAGGTTCCTTTTTAGACCAGCGACTCCACACAACCACGAGACCGGTGAATAGATTTTTTTTTCTTTTTTTCTTCGTCATTGCTCTCGTTTCGCACAACGCAGCGTGGCCTCACGCCTGACTAGCTCCATTATTGACTGTGTTGGCGTATTGTGGCAGGGTTGGCAGGCGAGGTGGTTCTGTTTTTAGCGGTTGATGTGTCTTGCACACGTTTGCACACTCTCTGCGTTCCGCCGTGCGGCCGCAGCTTCTGAGAAGCCGCTGGAAAACGAGTGATTGTGAAGCTTGTTGGCGTTCGGCACCTGGTCGCTCGTCAGCTGAGCAAAGTCTGTGGGTGACGCACCGCAGCACCTGCCGGCCCCACACGCTGCCGAGAGGCGGCGAGAATAATGACCTGTAATTTTGATGAAATGAGTAAGAGAGGAAATTTACGTTTTGGGCTGTAGTGGAAATACACGTGTGCACAATACCTCAAATGTCTGCAACTGGCAGCTTCTACGTCTCACATGATGTCCGTAGTCTAAAAATAATTAATGAGTGCAGCTGTTATGACAATAAAGTCTATCAAGGCAATTAAACATGTGTGCTGATTGCGTGGCATCTCTCACCGTGTATTCCCGACCGCAGAGTGTGGAGCCCACAGGTCACTGCAAGCCGAAGCTCCTGTCCGGGTGCCTGTGGCGCAAAAGGCCAAAGACGGGGCCGGCGGAGAACTCCATGCGGCTCCAGGTGGACACGCTGGACTGCTGCAGCATCACCCACGCCTCCTGCGGTCGCACCGAGCTGGATCAAGAGGAGCAGCGAGGAGCTGAGGGGGAGGCGGAGGAGGGCAACCAGAACGAGCGGCCTTCGGCCCGGATGAACTGCGAGGTGAAGGATCTGTCGAACGGACGGACGCACACGTCGCTGCAGTCGATGGCTCATTCCATCAATAATCAACGGTTCAGGAGCATGCACGCCAGGGAGAAGAAGGCCACCCAGATGCTCGCCATTGTGCTTGGTGAGTGGAAATTGTCTTAAGTGGCTGAGAAATGTGAATGTCACGGAAACACTTAATGCAGCCAATTTGCCCGGGTGCACCTGTTGTGTCTCTCACCTGCTGATGACGGCACGAGCGTATCTTATTTTGTGCAGAGTTTGTGCAGAGTTCAAATGTCAAGAGTGTCTGTACGTCTCCGGGATCGCAGTGTGCGTCCGCACACTCTGTGGCTCCTGACACGGCTTGCACACGCTCCAATTACCAGCCAGGTTGCTGCACGTCCGGTCAAGTTAGCTCTGGCTTGGCAGAGATCTCGCCGACAAATTAGATGTGTCTCATTATTTTACACTGGTGCCAGTGAAAACCTTTGCACACATTCAGAAACTGATTTCTGCTTCCGCCCACTTACCATCTGCTTTAAAGCCAACTGAACACGTGATGTGACCCCAATTATGGAGCTGGAATTTAGTGTTTCAAGCGAGCTGCAGCATTAATAGCCGTTTGTTCACGATAAATATCCTGTTTGCTGCTGCTCAGCATACTAAGTGACTTCAACACAAAGCAAAGGTTAATTGGGAACCAAACGTGTTATAATTTACGTCTACTCACCGTCATTTTTGTGATTCGTAAGTTGCTGATTTGATATGAAGGTAAAAACCAACCACAACTGTTACCCAATTAACACCATGAGTTGATTTGATTAATAGCTGCATGCTGTTGATTTTTTCAAGCAAAACCACATTAATAACAAAGTAGTGGATGATGATAATGCTTGATGAAGCTGATAATTAATCATAATTATTATGTGCGAGGTAGCACTGTTAGCTGGGCACGCTAATAGATGCAGTTGGTACTTAGGTATGTGAGCAGTATACATCACCTGTAACCCCACATAATAACCAGAATTGGCTGCTGATTACATGTATTATTATAGAGTATTAGCTTATTCTGGACCTCACGCTAGATAAGCGAGCATGCTAACATTTGCAGCTGACAGAAACAATGTTTCTTACAATTTTGCTCTTGTGTTTTTTCGTTTGTTCCGCCCTCTCTCCGTGTGCCTCTCTGGCCGCTCCAGGGGTGTTTCTCATCTGCTGGCTGCCTTTCTTTGTGACTCACGTTCTGAACACCCACTGCGGGACATGCTACGTGCCGCCGGGGCTTTACAGTGCTTTCACCTGGCTGGGTTATGTCAACAGCGCCCTCAACCCCGTAATCTACACCACCTTCAACATTGAGTTCAGACGGGCCTTCATCAAGATCCTCAGCTGCTGAGGGAGACAGCACATCAGGACAATTAGAAATGGATTTAAAGGCGTCTACAACTCCAGCACGGTGCATTCAGTAAAACATGGCCATAGATTTACGCTGGTTATTCTCCAGATAAATCTTTCACAGGAGTTACACACGAGCAGCAAGATGAAGCATGAAAAAACAACACGTCGTGGTTTGCAATAACTTCAAAGAGAAGATATTACTTTAAAACAGACTTTTCTTCTGAACAGGGCTTGGACTCCTGTAGAACAGTATTGCTCCTAAAATAAACCCTCATTGTTACATGCATTCAGTCTTGTTAATATCACAAGTTGTTGAACTTTATTGTGACATATCTTGTACAGTATGTGTGCTGCTTTTTTGGCACAGGACTTCAATCGATGAACGCTTGGAAACTCTTCGGACCCGAGATGAAGCTTTGAGGCTTATTAATTGATCACACAGCTGTGGGATATTTCGCCCGTTGCGTTTTGTGGATTGACTGATGATTCGCACCTCCCTTTTCCCCCTTTATTCATAAATATCACCTTCGGATACCCTCGCGTGCACGAACACATGAATTGTCAAAGACGTCCACTTGGATTTCGCTGGAAGGATCGTTTTGGTTCCTACCAAGACTTCATTCATCATCATTCTGAAGATTGTAATACATGTGGATGTGGAGGCATTGTGTTCAATGTGGATAAAAATGTGAGATTTTGATGTATTGCACAGTGTTTTTTTCTTAAAGAGACAGTTTGTCCATTGGAGAAGCGGTTGCGTTGTGTGTTGATGAAAGCAGCAGCTTTGTGATCTTAACAAATCAAGCCGGATTGTAAATCGTGACGTGTGCACAAAACACTCACTGCAGGGTGCTGTAAATAAAGGAAGGATTAAATGTTTCCAGCTGTTCATAAATATTAGGTATAATACAGCTTGTGTATGCATTCGGGGGTCTTAATGTTGCTGTAATTGGGAGACACCGTCGGCGATTGGTGAGAGACAGCGTAAGTGTGCTTTTTGGGAGAAACACAAGAGAGATCCAGCCGAGTGAAGGATTCAGGGATCTAAAGACAGAACTAGTGACGCAGCGGGAGAATGAAAAACACAATGATGGATTGTGGATGATCGGACATGAGAGTGGGCAGGAGTTGGAACAAGGAGAAAGAACACGAAGCGGTGGGAAAAAAAAGAGGTTGATGGATGAAGGGTAGCTGCAGTAGGAGAGGGAGGGGATTCTTTCTCAGCCTTTATCTCAACCTCTCTTATTCCTCTAAGAGGCATTAACACCTGCTCCCCTGACTCTTTGTGACGTCCGTCGAGTTGGCCCCTCTGAGACGACTAGTGGTTATAAGGCACCGTGAGTGTGTGTGTGTGTGTGTGTGTATCTGCGTGCATCACTTTATTTATGTACGTGTGCTGTGATTTGTGAGGAGCCTCCAGTTCAACCAGAGTCAATATTTAAAACATATTGGTATTATATAGATAGGTCTTTGATGTTTAGAAACTTAATGGTGTAATCAGGACATAAAATAACTGAGGTTTAGATTCGTGATGTTTGCTCTTCTGTTAATGTGTTAATCCAATTAAAGAGGCCTTGTATGGTGTGTAAATGCTGCACAACTGTGCACATGTGCCTCATTCAGATACAATGATAAAAACCTCTTACTGTAAATGAATTTCAAATGAGCCCAAAACCCCAAAGGCAGGGAGACGCTGTGTTCATCACTGTGAGACTTTTCATTACATTCAATAATATGAAGTATCAACCACGGAGACTAAAATGTAAAGCGGTTACGTCCCTCTCGAGATGCAGCTAGAGGAAAGGTTACAAGGTCGTACAAAAAAACTAAAAGTTTCACTTTGGAAGCGAGAATGTGATCATCCAATTTCAAGGCATCAGGTTTTTACATTGAAAGACATCTTCCGCGTTGTCTTTTTATCCTGAAGGTATTGCAAGTGTTTGGAAAACCTGTTGAGTGTCTGAGATTGTGACCTTTATTTGACTTATTTTCGGATTGCATCATTTTGCCAAATACATTTGTGATGTAGTGATCATTCAAATCACATCACTAATCAACTGTTGGTGTCTTCTCGAATATTCCTGTATGACCTTTGTCGACATACGATGGCACAATTGTTTTCATTTATTTATTATTTCTTGACTTTTGAAGTTGAAATTTTTCAAAAACTTTTCTTTGGCAGTATGTTATGATTTTTTTCATCACACCATAGTATGACTTTTTTATTTATTGTCAAAATGCACAATGACTTGTTTATTACTCTTTTCAACATACTATAGTATGACTTATTTTGAGATACCACGCTATGGCTTTTTAAACATACTATAGTTCCACTTTTTAATACCTTCTTCATAACACTGTGATATAGTGTCATTCTTTTTTTTCCACCGATGTCTATTATGACTCTTGTTGAAATACAATAAGATAACATGGTATAATATAATAATATATAATAAAAATCCAGTTCATACACCAGGAATTGAGGCAAACTGATTTCAACAGGTTTCCGTGCAATGCACCTTTGTGCGTCATTGTGCGTGCTGTGCAGCTATATGATGTTATGCATGAAGGGACACATACTCAGGCTTAGTTTTTTAAAATTATTATTTGCTGAATGACATCCATGTTTCTGATCTGCACAAACAAACAGCGGCTCGCCTTTCTTCATGTCTGCATACATTGGTGAGGAGCGCGTGCAAATAGGCGAGTGAACGGTGGTGATCAAAGTGAAGAATCCCATCTCCGGGTGGAAGGTGGAGGGTTTCATTGCATCTATAGTTGAGGATGACACTTTGAAAGGATGAATGCTATAGAGTCTTCATGTTTCTTCAAAAGGAAGAGCACCTGTGTGGGAGTGAGGGCTGCTCACCTTTTAATTACTCATATGTGATCAGACCCCTGTGTGTGTGTGTGTGTGTTTTTACGCTTTCCAAATTCCCTGCTGCTTTGCATGTCTGTGACTGAGGAGGCACAGAAAGAAATACTTAAGACCTCGAGGGCCACCACTCACAAATCTTTAACTTATTATTTTCGTTGTTGTCAGGGATACAAAAGGCTTGGAGTATTTCTGTGGGAGCATGGATATTGGTTATCGGCCTTTGTAGTCCTTGGCAACAGTTGAAGATGCTGATTGCAAGCAGGGGTGGATGCACGCCGATGACTGACATTCATTTTGTCCTTCTCTGCTTCCTCAAATTCCACCCACCAAGTGTGTCAAAGCAGCACAATAATCACCCCCCCTCCCTGACATTCAGACACATGCTGCCACTACTGTTAATTTGATGTCATTTTAAGGTTAAACGGTGCAAGGACCGACGCAGTTTTGCAGTGTTGGTAAATTAGTTCTTGCAATTTGACTAACGTAACATATAAAACAGCGTTGTCTGTATTTTTAATCATTCACCCGTGGCGTGTCAACCTTTTTACTTCATTCAGCAGTCTAGCATTCATGATTCAAAAATTGTTAAAAAGGGACGTTCTTTGGGAAGATTACCCTGTTGAACAACATATTTGAGTACTTAAACTTTGATTTTTTTGTAGCAATTTTGCAAAATACAAAGGAAAAATATCCTTGGCTTTTTGTCAGGGGAACCAGTGCGATGCCAACATCCAGTTGTGCGTCGTCCCTGGAGCACTTCATGCTTATTTGTTGCGTGTGTTGTTTGGTCTTGTAACCGAGCATAAATGTGAGTACTTTGCTGAGCAACGCAGCTTATTTATACTCTAACAGAAGACATCGAGATTTTAAGCTGCTGGCTGTGTGACGTGTCAGCATTGTTTCTGCGATCTCACTGCCAGGAGCAGTAGACACAGTAGTCTTCATAGAGGAGCCACCAAGAGATACTGTTGTAATTAAAAAAAGCCCTCTTCTGTGATTTCAAGTTGTGTTTATATTTCGCAGTCACTGATGGCTGCTGGATGTGCGGAACCATCTAATCGCTGCAGTGCGGCTGCTTTATGTTCTCACACACCATTCATCGCTTACAACAATAATGGCATTAAAGCAGAACCAGGAGGGGAAAGGATGGAGGGGCAGCACAGGGTGAATATATACTAAATTATGAATGCATAATGTGGCCAGGTGGGAAGTTAGAGCCCTGTAAATAGGTAGGTAGGTAGTGGAGTTATCCCAAACATTCAGACAGCTTTTTCAATCACCAGTTTGGTTCATTCAGATTAGCATTAGTTTTTCTTGAAGATGTACATTTTGTTTTGCCCTTTTAGACAGGCTATGTTGTGAAAAAAAGGGATTACAAGTGATTTATTTTACATGATTAGAATGAATTTACCCCTCCACTTTTGATAGGGAAGGTTTTATCGACATCATATTCATATACCAGCACGGTTCACATCAAACCGGATGTGACTGGTTCTTTTTTTAATCTTCTGCAGCTGTCTGTGCGCTCTGATAGCATGCAAATCTGCATGTGCTCCTGCTCAGGCGATGAGGCTTGGACTCTCTTTGGCAAATGACTCCTTGAAAGGTGCACGTCTCACATCCCCTTTGTGGATCTCCAGCTGTTTTTTATCTCACTTCTGCGATAAGGACATAACAAGAGGAGGATGTTCTTCAAGAGCTACGTGACTTCCATTCACAAGTAGCCCTGAGTAGTTGACTTAACTATTTAGCGTGATTAGATATAATTAGTTCTGGATGATTAGAGATGCAGAGGGTTTCCAAATAAGAGGTCAAAGGAGGACGTTTGAACGTGAAACGCTTCAGTGAAGCACTGTTTAAATCAAGAAGCAGGGAATGACCCCGTTCCTTATCTCCAAAAAGGTCGACATAAAACCAGAACAACGGCCCACTGGAAATAAATGTTCGGTCATTTTTATCCCAAAAAGAAACAGTCAAGAGCCGAGACTCCGACTACAGTTCATTGTGTACGCTGCACGAACCGCAGCAGGCACTCACACACCTGATCCAATCTCTGCAAACACACACACACACACACACACAGTTTGCCTTTATATCTAATGAACTACGTCTCTTCAGGGTGCAGAGTGGCACAATGCTTCTTCAGACGGTCTCCTATGGAGCAGATTAAAGAGCCACTGTTGCAGCCCTGAGAATCACTATCACAATGCTGCCGCGCGATTATTATCATCAGCCAGCCGCGGGTCTCACAGGGGGGCCACTTTCCAAGTTAATGAGGGGAGACGGGACCAAAAAACACAGAGGCAAAGGCTGAGGCAGACGGTCCCGCCAGAGGCACATTTTATTCGTGGTGAGAATTTTGCAGATTACATTATTTTACCCAATTGAGGCTCTACTGTATCTCTGAATCTTTTTGCACTAAGTTGCAGATACGCTGTGCTCTTTAAATAGTGGCAGATTCAATAATGTATTGGCAAAGATAAGTCATGCATTATGCAGAGTCACACCTTTCTAACGCTGGATCCTCAGCACCTGGGCTCCCCTTCTGTCGATCTGGTGAGCAATTACAGCGAGTCCTCCCTGCCACCTTCGCAGGGAGGAGACGGAGGAGAAGAAATGAGCATTAAATTACACCACATTTAGAGAACGAGAGTGAAGGCTGTTGCCCACTTTGTTCTCGGGCTTGTTGTCCGTTTCACGGAGGCCTGCTGGTGCTTCTGACAGAGCCGGAATGAAACGGATTCCTCTTTTCTGGTTGGTGTTTATTCAGAAAGTTTACCGAGTCTCAAGATTGAGGGGCTTTTTTGAAGATGTTCTTATCAAAACCCTCACAAGCACCTGGATGGAAGCAGTTACCTTAATCAGCACACACACACAAACACACACACACACACACTGAACACGTCTTTGCTATCTACTCTGCTTTCTCTCCGTTTGAATTTGCGGCTGCTCCCTGTTTCCTCCCTGCTGGGCGAGATACTCTGCACACGTGACTGACATGCAAAGCTACTAAACTGTTTCCATGGACAAATCCCTTCTGTTGTGTCCATGTTATTAATTGTTCAATTTCCAGTTCACTCAGCTTCGCAACCACATGTGTGCTTCCTCTGTGTGTGTGTGTGTGTGTGTGTGTGTGTGTGTGTTGGGCTCTCGTGTATTGATTGTTCAGTGTTGATGCACAGGTGGTTTGTTACTGCATGGACGTATTGACCAGTATGTTGCCGAGCGCTTCTCCGGCCGTCTGCGTGTCGTTGGAAACGAGACTGGAGTTAAAGAAATAGTTCCCCATTTTGGGAAATTGCTTTTTTTTTGCAGAGAGTTAAATGAGAGGATCAATGGCGCAAATTGTATATCTGTATGCTAAACAGAAAGCTACATCCAGCCGCGGCTGAGCTTAGCTCGGCATGACGACGGAACCGACAGCCGTCCCACCTAAAAAGGTCAATCTGCCCACCAGCACCTCGGCCACGTATTGAGGGGGGGGAAAAGTTGAAATGCTATTATCTTATTCTCATTATACTTTAGATTTTTCCACATCTGCCCCCCCCCCCTCCCGCCACTCCCTTCCAGGCTTTAAAAAAAGCTAAACTATCTGTCCCCTAGGCGTGATTATGAATCCCACAGCTCTGGTTGCAGAGACCTGCAGCTGCCGGCAGAGATGATTCGTCAGACGTGGAATCGCTAATGGAAATGAGCTTCAGGCTTTGTGGTGTTTTCATCCCCTGGGATTTTTATCCAATATAATGAGCATTCTCATCAAAATGTCAAACTATTCCTTAGCGAACGACTGATACTCATTCCTACTATCCTTTGTGCGCGTTCCCCCTCTTACCATTTAATGTATCGATTTAATTAATCCTCTCCAACACATCCTTTCTTCTCTGTTAGCCAAGGGCCCGTCATGTTCTCCTACCAATTGACTTCATGTCTCTCGCACCTTCCCTTTCTTTCATATTTGACTTTTCCTGGCCATATAATCCCGTCCCGCTCCCCCATCTGCCTGTTCGTCATGTGAAACTTGTTAATTAAATCTGCAGGTTGAGAGACCCCCCCCCGGGGGAACAAAGTTCGATGAGCACAAATAGATGACTTTCATTCCACACAATTCTTTCCCTGATGTCGGCCCCCCGTCCGCGGCCCAATTGAGGGGAGTGAGTGCGTGCACTTGTACAATAACAAAGGGCCCATCTAAGCAGTGTAAGAGCAATCTCAATCACTCACTCAATGCTAACACGCTTCCCTCGTCTCAGTCACGGCAGGAACAGCAGACAGCAAATGTCCACATTTGAGAACCTTTGCCTTTACCCCGTTTCCCTGCGGCTCTCATCTCTGCTTTTGCTGATGACGTGTCATCTAAATCAGGAAAGATGGTGCTCCTACCGAAGCCTTAATGCGTACCTGTTGTGTGGCGGAGATGTCCTCTAACCGCGAGATGTCATCTCATTCCCCCAAAGCCAAAGGCCGACGTCACTGTTGATTCATAAAGAACGGAACAGAGGTTACATGCAAATTAGGTTAAAACCGTGCCTGGCCGTGCAACCTGCAAATTGAGACAAATATCCAGGCCTGCAATCACGTGTGTACTCACACACATACGAAGT